AATTTTGTCATTTAAAAAATTATAACAAAATTTAATATTATTTTAAATATTTTTTGTGATATTTTCTATCTAAATTAAAATTTTATTTTGATAATATAGAGAATAATATTTGACATACATTAAAAATCAATATTAATTAAAGAATAACTGAAAAGTACGCACTAAAATTTTTTATAAAAAAAGATATTATATAAATATTAAGGTAATTTTCATGAAACCATGAATATTTGATTTTTTTTTTGTCAATTTAGTCTTTTAACTCACTATTATTTTATTTTTATCCTTTATGTCTTTGTTTAATTTTAATCTGAACTAATTTAATAATTATATAATTAACAAAAAATATATAATTTGTGGTAGTAAAATATTGCCACAAGAACAAACAGGACCAAATTGAAGTCAAATGAAAAAGAATAAATGATTGAAATAAAAAATTAGATAATTATATTAAAATAAAGAATAATTTGAAAAGAACAAAATTTATTTTTCTATTTAATTTATTATATTTTTATCACATAGCAAGGGGAATTTTATTTATGGTTCTATTTATTTTAGATTTTGATACAAGAGTGGAGTTGGTTTTGAAAGAATAAAAATAATTTATAATTGGGTGTGATATTTTTAAAACAAGTAAAAAGTTATATTTTTATTTAATTATACAATAAAAAATAAGAAAAATAAACATAACAAAATTAAGTATAGAAAATTTATCCAAGTAAAAAGTTTACAAAACTAAAAATTTACTTAAAAACACTCACATTCTATAAGAATCAATTTTATCACCTCCCCGTGTAAAGTCATCCGAACAGGTATTAGTTGAAGGATTGAATGATTTATACCTAAACATGTAAAATGGGCCAAATATACTTATATTTTGCAATCACATCATGAGAGTCCCATCTGTTTCCATGATTCTATGCCATACTACAACATGAATCTTTGTGTTCAGATGCCAAACATTTGGATGCTTTGTGCCTTTTAATAATTCTAAGGAAAATAACTATTCATGAATATAAATGATTTTTAAAAAGCAATATAAAAGTGGTTTTTTATATTTAATACAAGATAAAAGATTTCTAAAAATACTAATCTATAAAGAAATGAAAAATAAATTTCTCTTTCGTAAATAAATTAAAATTTCTCATGATAGTGAAGTATAATTCTTTGTGGTAGATATATCAATGACTAGGGTTTCTATAGTCATTAAACCCACTCAAAATAAAGTCTTGTTTTTTCATTCAAACTAAAAAAGAAAGAAAAAAGAGAGAGCATATTGTGTTGATTTGAGAAGAATAAAATTATGCAATTTGGTGAGAACGGAATCCTTAAAAGGTCACAATCAGTGAGCATAAGTTTTTAACTTTCATCTTTCCAAAGGTCAATTGGACATTTATGGAAAGCAATAGTTTAATGGTTGAGCTGGTGATTCGTTAATTTCATAATTACTTAACACTACAAAGAGACAGGAAATCAAATACAGCAATATGCTTTTTTTGATAAAAGGAAATTATATTATTAGTTTAAAACTAATTACTAATTTATAATAATTATATCAATAATAAAATATTTTAATCTTTTAATATTTTTCAATTAATAAATGATAATTTTTTTATACTCCCAACACACATGAATTAATTGAGTCAATTTAATTTAATTTACAATGTTAAGTTTAAATTTCAATAAATATTAATATATTAGATACTCACAAAAATATATTTTTCTTATAATGATTTTACTTAACTTGAACAAATTTATAGTTATAATTTAAATAAAATAATAATAACAATTTTTTGTAATATTCATAATAATTTATTTTAGTAGTCATAAAAAATTAAAAAAGACTTATTCATCAATCATAAAAGATGATCACACAAAGGTAACTGAAAAATAAATATTTTCTTATAATAATTTTATTTGACTTAAATATAATTATATTTACGATTTAAATAAAAAATAATATTAACTTTTTATAATGTTCACAATAATTTATTTTAGTAGTTATGAGAAGATTAGAAAAAAATTATCAATCATAAAAAGATGACCATACAAAGTTAATTGAAAGTTAAAACTTTTAAAAAATAAGTTTCTTATAAAAACTCACTACGAAGCTTAAACCAAAGGGGGTGATGGGAGAAAGCACATTCTAATGCGATGGCGACGCCGTGACAAATCCTGAAAGCAGACAACGACAAATTTAGTGTTACCGTTCAATGAATGGTTCACTCCTTAAACCTTGGAGGCTACAACACCCCATTTCACACTTTTTTAATAGATGGCTCTATTGACATCTATTTTGTATAATTAATTCTTCAAATTTTAAATTAGCAATTTCCTTATATAAAATATAATTATGATATTAAAAATATAAAATATAATGAATATCCTTTTTGATAAAACTTAACACAGTTAGATATTTAAAATTAGTCTTCAGAATTGGTCTGAATATTTTATATATTTAAATTAATTACTTTAAAAGAGTCTGTACTTATTGAATGACCTTTCTAAGAATAAATTTACTTTGTGACTTATTATAGCATCAGAATTTTTTTAATTCTTATTATGAATTCCATACTCTTAAATGAAAATTTAAAATTAATGATAAAATTGTTTATAAATTTATTTTTTTTTCTAAAAATTTATAATAAATTTTTTTAATTTAATTATTAATTATACTAACTACTTTGTAGACAAAATAAAGTAATACTAGCTAAACTTGTTGTTGTAACATATGATTTATCACTTTTAAATTAATTATTCTTATGAAAAAAAATCAAAGAATAATATATTTCAATTTTAAGGTAATATTACCTTTATTTTAATTTATCTATCCGGATAAAAGATAAATTGTATTCATATTTATTTATTTATATACATAATAAGAGAATAATAATTATTATATTTTTACTAATATCTCTATGTTTGTACAGAATTTTGAGTATAGTAAATGAAATATTTATATTTATTTAATTGAGTATCCACAAATTAAAGAAAAATTTATTAATAAATAACTTTAACAAAATAATTAAAATCATTGATATGTGTAATTTTTTAAATAATAAATAATAATAAAAATAATATAATAATTTAAAATTAATTTCTATCTTTTAATCAATATTTTTCATATGAGATAATTTTATTCAAAATTAAATTGGGTATGAAATATTGATGTCTCTCCTAACTAAGATATAAATATTGAATTACCACCTTACGGGGATTAACGATCTTTTTTAATTAATATAAGTTGTTTCAAACTACTGAATCAATTCTAAAAAATAAGATATTAATTAAATTGTCAATAAAAATAAATATTTTTATATATTTTTGTGTAGTATAGTTCAATTTTTTTTATTTCCGTGCTCAAATTCAAATAAAATTAAACCAAATTAAAGTACATTTAAATATTATTTTTTCTATTATATTTTCACATAAATACTATTTTTAAAGAAAATTTATTAAATTTATTTGTATATTTTAATAAAAATGTTCAGATTATTTTGACTTATAATAAATAATTTAGATTAAATGGTAACTCAATATTTTTTAATACTATCTTTTTCATTTTATTATATATTTAACTTTTTATTTAATAAATACTATGTATTAAATGAAAAATTTAGTCATAAAAAGTTTATATATTCATTTAATCTTTTATTTACATTTAAAGAATACCTGTGGTCTATAATTTTTTTTATTTATACTCAAATGGAAAAACTTTATTTGTTTAGCTACTAAAAGAATTAAAGTATTATTTCTTACAAAATAAAAAATATTAAAAAACAAAAAATTGATTCAATCTAAATATTACAAATATAGATTGAATTAGTTTAATTTTAATATTATTTTAAAATAATTTAAAGTGAAATATATTTTTTATAATTAGAACAGTTAATGTTCACATCAAAATACATTCAAATATAACCGAAGAACACTTCTACAAGTATGATATAGGTGATAAAACCTGCTCTCAAACAAATATAATTTAAACATTGCTAAAAAAATGTAACTTTTAATTTAAAAGATACACTAAATATAATGTTTTGGAGGTGTATGAGTTTGTTTGATTCTTAAAAAAAAATCTCAATCAATTAAAATCATTGAGTTAAATTTGAAGAAGGTTTTCACCAAATTTGTGCTAAAATAATTTATTTATTTTATATCATAAATATGAAATTAATAAAAAATTATTTAATTACACTGGTTTAAATTAAATTTTATCATCTTACATGTACCCGTCCAACAAATTTTGATAAACATAAAAGTTACACTAAAAGAGATCTTGGAAACACAATCTATTAAACATATCATTAAATTTGTTAAAAATTATAAAAGTTAAAAGAATTAATTTTTTCAACTTTAAATTAATATTTATTTGAGATCTTTTTATAATTTTTAATAAATTTTAACTAATAATTTTTTTATATTAAATTCCTCTTTTATTCATCATTTAATCAAGTTAAACGTGTTTAATTGACCCAGCGCATAATCTAAACATGTTACTTCTGAGTAAAATTTAAATATGATTGTTATTAAAATAAAATTTTAATTACAATCCTAAAAATCAAATTTAAATACTTAATAATCACAAATTGTATTAAAAATAAACTATTTATTCCACAAATATATTTTTAATGTAATATTATTTAAATTTATAATAAATTTATGTAATATTTTAATGCCAAAACTTAAATTTAAAAAAATTAAAATTAAAAAATTACACTTAAATTATTTGAAGTTTTTTTTGGTGTTTGTTAGGATACTTATAAATATTATCTACTGTCTTTAAATTAGCAGTTATATCAGATATTTATATTTTTAAATAAATTACAAAATTTACAATTTATTTATATAAAATTAATAGGGATATTATTTCACGTATCTCCCAATCGCGTCTTGCTAACGTGCACCTTTGGCTCCAATCTTCGTTTGCCCTACTTTCTCTCTTGCAATATAATATTGAGGTAATTGAATATTAAATAGCAATCAGATTATACTGTTTTTGAATAGTAACAGAAACGGGTAGGAGAGAGAAAGAGAGATAGTGACAGACAGAGGGAAAGGGAAGAGAGAAGGAAAGAAAGAGGGTCTGCGTTTTTTGGGGTACTTTTTGGAGCTGCAGGTTTTGGAGCATCGTGTCGGGGAGGTTCTGATTTTAGAGCCAATTTCCCCCCCCCCCCTTTTTTTTTTCCAGGGAAAGAAATATTATTTAATTATTATAATTTATAATTCGTTTAAATAATTATTATTACTTTCCTAAGTTATAGACATAGAGGGAAGATCAAAGGTGTCTGTGTGAGATCCCTGTATATAAAATCACGCTCATATTTTTCTGTGTATATATATGCACTGTTACTTTGTAACAACACCACGTTCACGGAGCCTCTTCGTTTCAGAGAGAACCTAGGAAATTTTGCTGTAGCAGATCACGATTCCAACGGAACTGCAATGGGTAGGTAGCGTTTGGTTATTTTTTTTCTTCATTTTAATTTTCCATGTTTTTGGGGTTCTTAGATTTGTGTTTCTTGGTTTGGGCATTTCAAAATTTTGGTCTTTTGGCTTGTGTGTTTTGTGAATCTCTGTTGGTTTTTGGAGTGAGGAAATTGGGATGCAGGTTTTGTGTTATGTCCACAATTGCGTGGCAAGGCATGACATAATCATGGGTTTGGTGTGAAATTTTTACTCTTTCTTTGTAAACAGGTAATTTGTTCAACTCTTGTGATTTTGGGGTGTGCATATTTGCTTATTCTTCTTCTTCCTATCTCTCTGGCTATTTGGTTTGATTGGCCAAATGGGTTCTATCCTGTGATTCCTTCTTTTTAGCATGTTAACAGCTAAGCATACACCACGAGGTTTATTCGTACATAACCACTTTTTTGGGGTTCTGGCTTTCTTCATTACTCGGTTATTCTTGTGTTTATTCATCTCTTTACCATTGGCCACTCTCTTTTACACACCTCATCCTTCTGTCCCCAGCCCTTGTTGTATTCTTCTCTCTCTCTCTCTCTCCTCTCTCTCTCATTGATGTGTTTTATTTTGGAAGATGGTTTCTTCATTATTATCCTCTGTTACTATATGTATTTATTGAGTTGCACTAGCTTTTGATTCTCATTGGCTATGAGGGGTTTTGTTTCCATGTTTTGTTCTCTGATTGGTTTGTTTTCTCTCTCATAGCTTTTATTTCGGAGGTCAACATGAGCTTCTCTCACTACAGGGATGATGAATACGAGAAACTCTTCCGGAGAATGAACCCTCCCAGGTTCCAAATTTTCCTTCCCATTTGATGAAAGAAAACTAACCCCCTTTTTTGAAAAAAAGGATGGGAGTTTCAATGATTCTGTCCTCACATCTTTGTCCACTTGTTGTCTTGTCTTGTCAGGGTTGTAATCGATAATGAAACCTGCAAGAATGCCACTGTTATACGGGTAATGGCTATTTCCTTTTTCTCTTAATTTTGTTTAATGTTTTTCTTGTTCTTCTTCTACCCTTTGTGGACTTTTCGTGCTTCTACGATTGAGCTTTAATGGCACTTTTTTCTCTAATGAGGATAATGAAAGTCAATTTGTTTTTGCAGGTTGATAGCGCAAACAAGCATGGAATACTTCTTGAAGTTGTACAAATTCTCACTGATCTAAACCTCATCATAACTAAGGCTTACATATCCTCTGATGGTGGATGGTTCATGGATGGTATAATATTTTTCTTTAATGTACAATAATTTCTATTATTTGTTTCTCTTGCAAATTATATCGATAATCGTATAAATTTTGCGGGGTAATTAAAAAATTAATTGTTTTAATTCATGTCTTTCAGTTTTTAATGTTACTGGCCAAGATGGAAACAAGGTTATAGATGAAGCCATTTTGGAATACATTAGTAAGGTGTGTGTCTCTCATTTGGTGTTCTTCAACTTCTGTGCTTTATTGAACAATCACTGACAATTTGTTGGATATCATTTGTGTTTTTAGTCTCTTGGTCCGGAATCTTGTTTTACATCTCCAATGAGAGCTGTTGGGGTTAAGCAAACATTGGACCACACTGCAATAGAGCTTATGGGAAGTGATAGGCCCGGACTTCTTTCAGAAGTGAGTGCTGTTCTAACCAACCTCAAGTGCAATATACTGAATGCAGAGGTGTGGACTCACAATGCCCGTGCTGCGGCCGTGATGCATGTAAACGATGAAGAAACCGGGTCTGCTATCGCTGACCCTCAGAAGCTCTCTCTAATCAAGGAGCTTCTATGCAATGTGCTTGGTGGTGGCAACAAAAAAAGGGGGGCTAAGACTGTTGTTAGTGATGAAGTCACACATACTGAGAGAAGGCTTCACCAAATGATGTTTGATGACAGGGATTATGAACGGGTTAATGATGATGGCTTTGATGAAAAGCAAAGACCAAATGTGAATGTTGTGAATTGGTCTGACAAGGATTATTCTGTAGTTACTATTCAATGTAAGGATAGGCCAAAGCTTCTCTTTGACACAGTTTGTACTTTGACAGACATGCAGTATGTGGTTTTTCATGCAAATATTGATGCTGAGGGGCCACAAGCATATCAGGTATATCACATTTATCACTTTGTTCTGCACAAATACACATGGACACAGTCGTGTGATTCCTTTTGTTGCTTGGTGTTAGCTGTTGGTCTTTTAAGGACATTGGCTAAATATTTTATGGTTGCTTATGTAGGAATATTACATCAAACATATAGACGGGTCCCCTGTAAAATCAGATGCAGAAAGACAAAGAGTGATACAATGTCTTGAAGCTGCAATTGAGAGAAGAGTTTCTGAGGTAAGGATATTAATTGTTTCAAAATTTGTGATTTCTTGCATTAGTAAGGAATTTATGCAGTCATGCTTATCTAATCTTTGTTATTCTTGTGAATGTGAAGCAGTATTTTTTTTCTATGCAGTAATTTATTCTTAATTTTCACCAAAACTTTAGGCTGAATGTGATCGACTCTCTTGTATATTTTGATATCATGTAAATAGTAGTGGTCCAAGATTAGTTGAAATGCAGTTGGTGGACTTTGACTGCAGTTGTTGTGTCCCACTGCCAGTTTGATTGTCTTATATTGAGGGCCTAAATAGACTTATTCAACTCGATTTCATTTTCTATTGGTTAACAGTTAGTCTACTTTGAAGACGAGTCACAATTTTGTTGGCTTCACAAGACCTAAACAATAATTTAGTAAACAGTGGAAACCTTTCTTGAATTTTAAATTAGTGATTACTGTCTTTTGCTCTTTAGTTCTGCTTATTTTTCATTGAGTCAAGAAATCTTGTGCACCGCAAATAGTCTTTTCTTATTTATTATACCATTGCCAGTTAGGTATTTTTGGTTTATTTCTCCGATACCCTCTTTGGCCTTTGTCTCCTACTATTTTATATGACTACTAAATTGTTATTTTATTTTTTCTTGATTTAGGGTTTGAAGCTAGAACTATGCACAACCGACAGAGTTGGTCTACTATCTGATGTCACGCGTATCTTCAGAGAGAATAGCCTCACAGTTACGAGGGCAGAAGTGACGACAAAAGGAGGCAAAGCTGTTAACACATTCTATGTTCGTGGGGCTTCTGGTTTTTCTGTTGATTCCAAGACCATAGAATCCATTAGGCAAACAATTGGCAACACTATACTTAAAGTAAAGGGTAGCCCTGAAGAGATGAAATCTGTTCCTCAGGATTCTCCTACCAGATCACTCTTTAGTGGTCTTTTCAAGTCCAGATCATTTGTGAACTTTGGCTTGGTTAAGTCTTATTCTTGAGAAAGCTATTACCACACGTGCTATCTTTTCTTGTACAGTGAAAGAGCTTAAGATGCATAGGTGTTACTAGGAAGTGTGACTTTAGTTTAGGGAGTAGGAATACCATCATATCTCAAACCCCTTCAACCAGGGAAAGTGGCTTGTAAATTCTGTATCTCCCCTTCTTTAGGTTAGTTTGTCACTGTGGATCCAATCACTAGGTTGATGATGAAAGCAAAGAACACCCTAATTGTGTAAAACTTGAAACAATTAGTTTCAGGGGCATCATTTGTAAATACTCATTAATTTTCTAGCAGCAGTTATAATTTCTCATCTTGTTTTTTACTTTTTCTTGAGGAGTTCTGCTTACTAATTCTTGCTTTTGTCACTGTGTCTCCTTTAATTAGCCCCCAATTAATATGGAGTCTTTATTTAAATAAATTTGTGACATATTGTTGGCACGGTAAGTTTTGAATCGTATGTTAGAAAAAATAAATGTAATGACATCAATTTATTCATGATTGTCAAAAAGAAATATCTATATAATAAAATTTTAAAGCCTTTTGAACAAGGGGCACGACTCCAAGAGATAAATACCCTCCACATCATTGGATGTAGTGGGACTAATCTTCGTAGCCATAGCCATAATCTACTTCAAAGCTTTTATTTAAAAAGTTGTTCAAATATAATCATCCTTCACCTTTTGGTCCGATTTGCTATGCAAGATTGGTTTGACTCTAATCTTTGAAGGGATATCCTAAACTTTGAATTATAAAAATATAATTATATAGAATAAAATGGACATGACATGGGAAATTACAGGGAAAGACGCCTTGAATTGCGTCAGAATTGAGCAAAGTTAGACATTGCATATTTATTTATTAATTAGATCTTTGTGCGATTCTGTTACCCACCCTCCCTCCATTATTAACGTAAGAAATTTCCGTGGCTTACTAAGGACCAAGCTATGTCCTCGTTCCATGTCTTATTGGACAGGGCAATTCGGTGGCGGCTAACTTTGTGCATAGTGTTGGCTACAAAAATTGAAGTGTATGCCAAATTTAAATGCCAATTTATTACCATCGCTGTCTGATTGAGACTTGCACTATGGGTTGGGTTAGGCTTGCAAGAATTGCGTATCTTTTGTGACGTATAACACGCTGCTTATGTTTCCTCCTTCAATTATCATTCAAATTTTTATGGTCAATCCAATTAGAGGGGAAAGCTCTTAGCAGAGAGGATTAGCATTTACAAATCAAATGTGCCAATAAAGTTTCTGCTGCTTTATTAAGCTATTTTTGTCGTCATCAAAACCTTTCCCACTATGTTATTTTTGCTCCATTTGAAATGGTCCACTATGAAACACTTCTTGTCCAATCCACACCCATTTGAACATTCCTTTTGACCAAACAGTGTGAGAGTGGTTCCGCTTTTCGAACGAAAGTAGAGAAATTGCCTAATGAACACCCTGTATAAAAGCAACAAAAAGCAATGCAAATGCGTTATCTCTGTGCAAAACCACTTGGCTGTAGTATTATAATTATTTTTGCACTATTCTTTTATTAAATTGAAGTTTTATTTTAATAACATGTAATATTCTTGACACCACCTTTTATTACGTAAATTTTTTTAAGTGAAATATTAGTTTTAATGAAAGAACAATATGAAAAATATACGACAACTTTTTACGTGAGTTTTTATTTTGAATCACTAAAGTGAGATTTTAATTAAAAGAATAACATAAAAATGCATTTAGTATTTTATTTTATTTCCAAGGGACGGGATAGGGGTATATTTATTGCATGTCGCAGGATTTAAACATTACTCCTTATATATTATATTTTAGTATAGTTACGTTAAATATCAAAAGAAAGATATTACTATGAAAAAAAAAATACATATAATATTTAATCTAAATTTTATTATCATTATTTTTTAATTTATTTTATAATTTTGAAGCTCACACTCCCAAAAATTTTATATTGGCACATCTTTATCAATAAAGTCCGAAACATCTATTTGGGGGGTTTTGCCACGTGGATTATCATTCCATTAGACTGAAGTAGAATGCAACGTTAGGTAACCTAGATAAGCTTCAAATAAAGCAAGAGCCAGAAATAATGCAATTGTAAAGATGATCATTAGTTGACCAAAAAAAGAACACATGATCATTAGTGCATCTTTACTTCATTATAGAGAAACAGAGCTACTTGATGTTCCTCCACAAAAAATTATGTGATTTTTAAGTATTATATAATATAGATCTTTATGCCTCCAACATTTGAAAATATTGCTAATACTATTACTTTTTATTCTCACAATTGTATTTTATATGTAACAGATATTTGAGTATTATACTTACACATACACACATTACACATTTTGTAATATTCTTTCTTATTTCTTGAATCAGACATTATATATATATTCTAAAATCGACCAATGAGCTTTTTAAGATTGTTTCCCTTTAAGAAATACTCGTTTCAAGCCAATACTAAACATATTTGAGTACTGATGACAGGTGAATCAGTCTCTCACAAATAGTGGCTGGTTTGTATTTTTGTAAGTAAATTTTTGGTAACACGATGATATATCCCTAATAATGTTAAATAGACACAAATGTATTTTAATTTTTGTTAAGTAAATATGTGTGTGTGGGTAAAAACTTGCGGTTTCAAGCTAACGTTAATGAATCTCCTAAGTTACAAATGGCAAACGATTCAGTTATTTAGTACGTAGGTTTCAAATAATTATCATCTTCATTTTTCTTCTCTTCCTTTTATTCTCAACTTGGTGAAAATGTATTCATCTTATTCTGACTATGTGAATTCCTGTTTAATTGTTAATAAATTAAGTCTACAATATATACTTGACAGATATTTTTAAACCCTTTTTTTCCTGCATGCATGAACGATGAGTGTACTTACGTAAATTTCATCAGAAATGCTTGCAGTTTATTCGGTAATTTTAAGTTTTGTTGTACTTCTAAATTCAATGCTTCACTTACTCTGTTAATATGAATACCGGGAGGCTAGGGAAAATTATACTTCTTTCCGAAGTCTTAACCCAAGACTTTTACGAAAGAAACTTGATTCATTTTGCTTCTTTATTTTAGTTTTATCATTGAGAACTTAATTCAAAGGCCTAAACCAAAATAGAGAGTATTATCCAAGAATTCAATTATTAAAAGACCTCTAATAAAAGACTAAAAAAGTTAGCAATTAAATTTTATTCAATTCTCTTGACTCTACCATGAAATATTTCTCATTGGCGTTTTTTTTTCAATTTATATTTTTTAATCTATATCAACCCTACGATACCTTTAGAGGATTGGATCTGACACATTATATTTTGACAAAAGATTTAGTTGCTATATAAAATACTCAAATCTTAAGTTTTAGGTACTGTTAGCTACTCTAGTTATTGTAATCAGCCAGTTTTGTTTGATTTGTTCTCAAACTATTCACCCACTGTGTTAAACTTCCTTTATTTTTTAACGATTTCATTGAGTTAAACCTCTAAGACTAAGTTTAAGTATATAAAAGTATTACTTTTATATTAAAAAAAGATATTTATTACGAAAAAAATATAAAAGTATAATAATGTTTCAACAAAAAATATTATTTTTAAATATTTAAACTCAGCCCAACACTGAAATTAACAAAATCGCATGTTTAATATAAGTGCATGTACCTTGCAAGGCATGAAAAAGAGTACTAAACAGACCCTCACCATGTTATATAGATCATTCACTGTTTTCATTCTTAGACTAGTCAGCAGTCAATGCTCCTAACATGTTTTGAGTACAGGGACATGAACCATTAACAAATATAAAATATAAAATGTTAAATACTTGTAAAATATCAGTTTAAGTTGAATTGAATCAACTTGGTTGGCATGACAATCATGGCCAAATAATGATCTCAAATTTTAAGAAAGAATACAGTAAGCTCTGACAGAACAAAATTATCTTGCTTAATTTAAGGTGGCTGGATTACTGGACAATAGCCATAGCTTTAGCTGCCAAATGTTATTAATAATAGAGGAATCATGTTACTAACTTTGTAAAAGAAAGTGGGAGGAAAACAATGCAATAAGAAATTACTAAGATTGTCATGTGCTTTACTCTGAGTGTCACTGTCACTGAAACTTAGGTCTTTTAAAAAATCGTGCGTAAGTGCATTGATTCTTCCCTCACATGAATCAAATATGGGAATATGTTAGTTACTTACAAAGACAGCAAACCCCCATAACTTTCCCTCACATGTAACTAAGAACAATGCAAAGTAGATTATATTATTATTTAGTCACCATAATTTATGTAATTATATATGATTTAACAAATACACATGAGGTGCCCATCAGCTATTGAGCAAACACAAAATCCACATGGATGTCACAATTTTTAAGTGACAAATTAGCCACTTACCCGGCACATACTCAGTGCCCTAAACGAAGAGTAATATAATTATTCTTTCAGCACAATTTTTTGTCAACGAGTACTATAATTATTCAATGTCACTTAAATTTCACTATCTCGTTTAGATAAAAATATAAAAGATAATTCTGTTGGTTTAACAATCAGATAAAGATGGGATATCTACAAGGAGACGGGCCTCAGCCAGCTTAGATTCTACTGGGATGGACCACTCGTATAGATCCAAAATAATTGTTAGACAAAAACAATATATTCAAGACCAAGAAAAATAATCTTCTACTTTCTTGTCATGTGTTATAGGTATTTTTGGCATTGTTATTTTTTTTTAATTAAGATTACCATTTTACCTGAGTAATATATGTCACCTTTATTACGTGAAGAGAAATGTTAATTGCCATAAACTCTTTAACATATTTTTTCTAATACACTTTAAGTTATTAGTTAAAATTTATTAAAAATAACAAAAATTATGAGTTTTACTATTTTTTACTTCTAAAATAATAATTCTTTCTCGTAATTTTGTATATTTCAATTAATATTAACTAATAATTAAAAATATTAAAAAATGTTTTTATGACTCTTTGGATATAAATTATCGAAAAAAAAAAAAACTTCAATTTTGTTTGGAGAACAATATAAAATGGCCTGTACTGTATTACCCATAAGTTTTTTTCTTTCTATTTTCATACTCCATTATAGATCTCATTCTAATAGTTATACATAAAGAGGTCCAAAAGAAAGGAAGAGCTGAAAAGCAAAAATGAAGGACTCGGGGATTGAGTTTCCTGGATTCCAGATTTACAGTCACAGGGATGAGTTTGTATTCAGAAGGTCTATGAGTCGGCTACAAAAGCAAGCTCCATGTCCACTTCAGATAAAGCCTACTGTCATAATATCCTCTACTTATAATGGTCCACACAACTCAATGGTGACGGCTTCAACTTCATCTTCATTCAATTCCTTCTTTACTAATAAAGATCCCATACCTCTACTTTCTCCTCTTGTGGTGCTTGAATCCACCTCCATCAGGGAAGAAAACACTGCAAAATCCCATTAATTTTGTATTTGTTTGTGATGTTCCTCGTATAGTCTTTTTATTCGGGCTCTTTGATCTTATAAACTTCTGTGTCACCAGTCCTAATGTAAATTAAATTGACTAAATTGTTTGTGGGTTTCTATTAAAATCATGCATTTTCAGTACTTCATTTTTTCGCAATGTTTAGATCCACTGTTCTTTTCGCTAATTAATCAGCTTAAATTTCATAGTGTGGGATGAAGTCATGGTAGTTAAACCAGAACTGTAATGTTTGGTTATAGCCATTTGACCTTGTGGTCGATTGAAAGCTGAGTCATTATTCATTGTTTCTATATTATTTCCCATATCAGTTACCTGCATTTAATCTTGTTGCAGGTGTAGTGTCACTACAAGACCAGAAACTAAAGATTCATTACTATTCTAAACTGATTAAACATCAATAATTCTATGACATTTTTAAGCGTAAAAATAGGAAATGAGACTCACTCGCAGTTGTTGAGACATAAAGGAGTATATTATATATATATGATATCCACCGTTAATACGTATGATACCTCTATTACTTCAGTCTATTTTCTCAGACAATATTCCAATGACCAACTTCCTTTTCCCTATTCCACGAGGAAACAAAATATTCTCTTTTTTTTTCAAATATTCATAGATTAAGAAAGCCTAATGATACTTACAGTTAAAAGATGCTAAATATCAAGAGTATTACAAAAAAACGCATAATAAATCCACTGTAAAAGATTAGGCCCATTTTGCATTACAGGATTTGGTTTAGCCTATGAACGAGTACTATTTTTGGTCAAAAGCTGATAAATGATTCAAACAGACACCTTAGACCTATATTGTCTTCAAATTTCGAAGTGTCTCGGTAGCTAATGCTATTTTCTATTTTATTTGAGTACTGCCAAAAAAATTGATGAGTGGATTTAAGGTGCATTTAGTAAAATTAATGCACAAGTTCTGAAAGTTTTAAAGTTAGCCGGAAGCTGAAGGATTAAAGTATTATATTGTTGATTAAAATATTATGATCAAAATAAAAATAATATTAATTTGTTTAGATTGGCTAACAAAGCTTCAACTTATTATTATTATTATTATCAAATGTCAATTACTTAGTATACTTTTATTCAAAGTAATATATAATTCTTACAAGTAATACAAATTCCCAATATGTAAAAACATAGTCAAATAAGATCCGGTGGTAGGAGAATTTCTTATTACTACTATTTGTTAGTGAGTTTTGAGAACAAGATAGATTCATGGAGAAAGAGTAAATGAAGACAAAGTAATAACACTAAGTTGATAATTAAGATAAAAGTAACAATGTTGAGTTCCTACAAACTATTTTCAATTTATTTAAACAAGTTTCTTGATATACTTTAATAAGTTAAATTATTTTCAACTAATCTTAATAAGTTTAATTGCTAACTTTATGATATAATCTAGAATTGGCAAAATTCATGTGTACGTTTTGTATTTATTTTGTTTGTTTAAACTTATGAAATAAATAATAGATATATGGAATAAAAATAATAAATTTTCATTATTTATTTGAGAGAATAAACATAAAGGAAAAATTTCTTCTATAGGACTCATAAAATATCATTCTTCCTCCGGGTGCAATTAAAATTTGGAAAGGGGGAACTTTTTCTTTCTTCTTCTTTTGGCTTTAGTTGTTTTAAATATTATATAAAATTAATTTAATTGATAATAATTTATTTTCATTATAATATATATATATATATATTCAAAAAATTTAAAATCTAATTATATGTAATATATTTTGAAGTTATTTAAAAATTAAAAAGTAAATTAATATTGACTTTATTTATAAATAATAAAATTTTATTACCATTAAAATTTAATTTGATTTGATCATCAATAGAAATTATAATTATTCTATTATTATCAATATTTATTGTAAACAAATAGTTATTAATTAATAAAATAAAGATTAATGTTATCTTAATTTATATAACTAATTAAAAATTCACTATATTAAATTTGATTTAATTTTTAATAAAAGTTACCAAATTTCAACATAAAATAAAGACATATAACTTTATGAAAAAGGAATATAAATAAAAATAGAACTGCATGATTCATTTTTCACTATAACGGATGATAAGAATGTTAATCTACAAATAAATGGGAATATATATTTTTTCGCATTTATGAGTGAAATTAATATTTTTTAGAATAATTGATTGTAAATATATTATCCTAAAAACATGGGTAACAAATAAAAATTTTATAATTTTTTAAAAGAATATTCTTTAAAATAATCCAAAACCAATTTTGAATAAAACGACTTCGCGTTCTGGCTTGACCTTCCATTGCTTAACAGCAAAATTTCTAGGTTTTCTCTTCATTTTCGCTCACTCCAAAATTTCAATTTCAATTTCTCCATCTCTCTCTCTCTCTCTCTCTCTCTGTCTCTCTCTCTCTCTCTATTACTTTGCTAGTGAGCTCTTTTTGCTTTGGCTTCTGTTCTGACCCACCGATTAATCCTTTTTTATGGAGGTATGATTCAATTTCAGTTTTTTTTGCCCCAATTCGCCGTAACCCTCTACCGTGTTCGATTCGATGTATGTTCTCCTTTGCAGCTCAGCTTCTTCATGATCTTTAATTAGGGTTTTGTTCGGGCTCTTAGGACTATTGGACATGGGGAAGGGTATTGTGTGATGGGCTTGTGAGTTGAACACATGCTGTGTAATGATACCTTTTAAGTTCTTCCAAGTTGAATTTTGATTGACAATGTATTTATATGTTTCTCTTTGATGGTGGAAAATGGGGATTTTTTGCTGAATTATTGTTTGTGTGTGATTCTTGGAATGCAGGTGTAGACCATGGGAAAAGGTGTTTCAAGAGAGCACTTTCAACCCAAGACATGTTCTGGGAAGAAAGATAATTTTAAAAATATTGTTTTCATTGATGTAGACAGTGATCAAGTTGATGATGTAGTGATCATAGATTTCCCCGAGTTCATGTCTAAATTGCATGGATCCGGTGCGCCGAGTAGGGATAGAGTATTTACGCCGCAAAGTGTTATCAGTATTGATGATGATGACGATGAGGAAAGTGATGATGTGGAGCGTCCTGGGATTGTTGGTGAAGGTGTTGGGGAATTGGATAGCGATGCCTCGTCGAGCAAAAGGTTTTCTCCTGAGTCAAGTGGCATGCGGAATTCTGTACACATAAATGTTGATAATAGTGTCTGTGAGAAAGATTTTGGGTCTAACAGGCAAAAAAGTAGAAAAGCATGCTTTGCTAAGGATACTGGCAGAAATCACTTTGGTTTAGATGGGTGTGAAAGCAAGTCATCTGAGAGTGATTGCTCTGATTGTGAACTGATGGAACGTGAACAGTGGGAAAAGATTTCACTTAAGAGAAAGCGTAGTGTGTTTAATGATCAACCTTCTTATAATGATCATGCTAGTTCTTCCCGTTTACATCGAAATAGTGATATTTACATTGATATTGATGTGGAAAATTGGAGTGAACAGAATGAAGGAGGCGCCACTTATCCTGGCCCTGACAATGGTAATTATGTCAAGGAGAATCAATCCTCCTTTTCTGTTAAGGGTGATAGTCAAGTAGATGGGATTTATTTTAATTTGGGGACAGAAAATTCTATCAAGAATTCTGATCAGAAAGTTGAGCAAGGGACTTCAAAAACTCTTAGGTCTGAATCCATAGAGGAAATGCAATCATTGCATCGAAGGTCTGATAATGAGCATGGAAAAAGTACAAGAGGAACAGATTTCCATCCCTGCTCTGGGAATAAAAACTCTAATTTCTGTAGTGGTGTTACTGGTGCTTCATGGTTCAACACAGAATTGGGTGGTAGAGAGTCTAAATTTGTGAACTTGAGCCAAGAAGCACGTGAAAGGCAAGTTGACAACAGTGGATCTGCGCTCAAGAGTAAAGATGACAATTTATCTGAAGCGAATTCTAACTCTACCTTTATTGATGAAAGATGTGTTAATTGTGATGGCCTTGCATTAAATGATCAAGTTTGTGGTCATAGTGCTTCAAATGAGACATATATAATTAACGAAAGAGAAAAGCTTAAAGAGACTGATGAATATAAACAAGCCATGGAAGAGGAATGGGCATCCAGGCAGCGACAATTGCAAATTCAGGTGATACACTTATGCCAGTATTTAAGTATTTTATGGGTGCGTTCGGGTAAAAATTGAAATTAAGTACTTATTAATTTATCACTATATAGAATGTGTTATAAGCGTTTGATTCAAAATAAGCTTATTTGGATAGGATAAGCAATAAAAATGACTTATGACCCTCTGATAAGCCATTTTTAGCTTATTTTAATAAGCTTCACAAATAAGCTAATTTACTAGCTTAATCAAACACTTCAAATTTTCAGTTTATGCCTGTAGATGTCTTGCCTCTTCAAATGTGTGCTCTGTATTCTCAAGTTGATGAGGGTCCAATTGGTTGTAATGCTAATTCCCTTGGGAATATGTATGCATTTTCCTGATGCTTTTTTAACACTTGAATGCAAAGCACTCAATAAAACTGTAAGAGCTTTTCAATTTTCATGTATGGATAATGAGGTTAAATCATGTGCGTGTGTGTGTGTGTTTGTGTGCATGTTTGATGGATTTGTGCTATGCTAGTGCAATAATTCTCATTCATAATGTGTTTGATGCTTGATTAGATTTTTCAACATTGACTTTTTAGTTTACCAGCCCCGTTTTTACCTTTTTTTTAGGTTTAAATACTAATTTAGTTTCCATATGAAACCTGTTTTTTGATTTGCTTCGTATACAAAAAAATAAAAATAAAAAAATTGTAAATAAGTCCCTAAATGAAAAATATTTTCAAAATAGTCTTTGATGTTAACTTTTATTATAGAATCGTTATCTCATATATATATAATTTTGATCCCTATACCCAATATACACTTTTTTTTTAGTCTTTATGCGTACACAATTTTTCTTTTTCTATCAGGACTAGAATGAAAAATGTGTTATGCATAGGGATTAAAATTAAAAATGTTTAAATACAAGATAATGATGTTATATGAGCCTTAATAGCAAGGAGTATTTTAAAAAATATTTTTTCATTTAGAGACTTGTTTACAAGCTTTTTTTTTTTTTTTATAGGGACGAAATTGAAAAAATAGGTTTTGTGTGAGAGCCAAAGTAGTATTTCAACCGTTTTTTTAATGGTTATCTTGTGCAGCCAAGTTACATTTGCTACCAGAACCACCAACCAGCATTGTTCTTGTTAATTTTATTTTTCCTTTCTTTACGTAACTAATCAATATGTTATGGTTTTGGGGGCATTTGGAGAAGCTTCTACATGGTACATAGGTCCACTTTGGGCAAGCTTGTAGATAAATCCTTGTATGGAAAGAAAAACAATATAAAAAATGAATAAAATTCTTTTCATAAGTTAAGGGTGCTGCCGTGCCACGAGGCACGACCATAAAATTAACTTATACTTCTCTATTTTTTAGAAGTTACTCTTAACTTCTCTAAAACTTGAAGGGATAAATTATTTTTAACTATGGAAGAAGTTTTATTTATTTTTTATATTATTTTTCTTCTTTTATAAGAACTTATCCACAAGCTCACCCACACAGAATCATAGTTTATTTAAACTTATGAAAATGACTTATGATTCTTTTATGTTTTTAACTTATTTTAATAAGTGAAGTTTATCAAAATAAGTTGTTTTTTAAGCTTATTCAAATATATTTCACGGTAAAATTTTTATATAACTATTATGCAATATGTGCTTGTTAAATTAAAACTTAATTATACTGACTCATTCAATTATACACCCTTGTTCTACATTTAATGCTCCTTGCGTAATTGGCATTATACTTGGTTTATATACTGCTTATTTTTTGGGCAACTTGCTGTTATGATTTTGTTTTTGTTAAAAAGTTTCTTAAACTCTGATTTTGCATACTTGTTCTTTTACAGGCAGAGGAAGCACAGAGATTACGGAAAAGAAAAAAGGCTGAAAGTCAGCGATTATTGGACATGCAAAGAAGGCAGAAAGAGCGCATTGAAGAAGTGAGGGAGACACAAAAGAAGGTTGCAATTACGTCTTTAATTTATACTGAAAGTGTTTCTAATGCCAATTATCGTTCATGTTACTTTATGATTTATCTTCCTTCTAGAATGTCCTTTCCCTTTTATTATGTTTGGCCATTTCAAGGTCTGCTTTGATGCAATTATGTCTTTTAGATATATGAAAGTGTTTCAAATGCCAAATATCGTTCATGTATATCCATTGTATTTGTTTTCCTTGTAGAGTTTCTTTTCCTTTTTATTTTTGGCCATTTGGAGGTCTGCTTTGATGCTCATTTTGGACATAATATAATCATGTAAAGTTTGTAGTGACTGGTTTTTTCTCTTTCAATCTGGCAAATAATGCCAAATTCAGGATGAAGAATTTATGAATCTGAAAGAGCAATTGCGGGTTGAAGTACAGAAGGGGCTTAATGAATTGGAGAATCAGTGCAGAGACATGACCTCACTGCTGCGTAGCCTAGGAATACACGTGGGAGAAAGCTTTTACCCTTCGCCCAATGAGGTAAGTTGTGTTTATATGTTGTTTTCCAAGAATATTTTATTCTCTACCTCACTTATGTTAGATTCTGTATATTGTTTGAATGCTATGCTATCTCTTTTAATTTACATAGTATATTTATACGTTACTGAAGATTCAATTATTTAAACATCTCAATAAATTTTGAGATAATGGTAGATTTTAAATATTTCTATAAAAAAACTAATCCGCTAATACACCTCTGACAATTGTACAAAAATCTCTAAGCAAGTTCCGTTATTTTTTTCCTTAACTGATGCTTTGGATGTATTAAAACAAACACTTACCCTCCCCTACCAAGGGGGCAGGGTAACCTGCAACTTGGGAATTCATTTATATTTAAAGATTCAATTTTTCACATTCACTTTTAAATAATTTATGAGGTAACACGTTTAACATCAGGAAGAATGTTAGCAACACACTTTAACATACCTTCTCTGATTGGTTAATTTTTGAAAAAGTCAGTGATTTTAAAAATATATAATCAATTTACAAGCCAAGTGTTTTGACTTTTAAAAAAATAAATTGATAGCAAAAAATTGTGTTCAAAAGAGTGGGATGTTAGCTTTTTTCTAACAGCATGTGTCTGTCCCTTCTGGTTATATGGTTTAATTTTTTAGTCTTATCTATACTGTATTTGATAACCAGTTGGGATTCTGATTTATTCAGAGCCCTTTGCTGTGTTTGATGCTAATATTTTATGTTGATGGTCATTTCAGGTGCATGCAGCATATAGACGGGCCTTGTTGAAGTTTCATCCTGATCGTGCGTCGAAAACTGACATTCGCCAGCAGGTTGAGGCTGAGGAGAAGTTCAAGCTCATCTCTCGCATGAAGGAGAAGTTTTTATCGGCTCCATTTTACTAAATGCTAGCAACTGTATCAATATGGTTGTCGGTGTTTGGGGTTTCAATTGAAGTGCCTTTACTTCATAGCTTCTTTCTTTTAACTGTATTTATCATTCTCCCCTCCCTTCGCCCAAATTTTATAGCAGATAATAGGTTAATTGACTATAGAATATGTGAAAATTTCATCCCTTATATATAATGCCATTTTTTTGAGGATGAACAGTATACATAATATTACTGTCCTCACGCTATGCTATTTGTACATGTTAATGTCACTATAAAGTGGGGTTCGATAATAGAGGAAACGAAGGGAAGAGGCAAACTAAATTTTTTTATTGAGTGATAAAGTTAATCCATTGTGTAACATCCCCAATTTTAATTTGTGTACTTAGGGTTATTCGAGTTTAATTAGTCTTTATTAGTACTACTATTATTATATTGATTGATTTTTGTGCATTTTTGATAATTTTGTGAATTTGTTGATTTTATTAATGTTCTCTTTTAATGATGATTATTTAAATTGCTAGGGCCCCTACTGCATGATAGAGCTTGTTATTTTTGTGGTAATGTTTGATGTGAATTTTTATGTGCATGTGTTATAATAATTACATGATGAGATTATCTTAAATAACCCTAGGTTAGTGAGATTAACTCTGGGGCGAATTTGTCTTTTGGTCAAATGGGAGGACCTCATTTTACTTCATGACCATTGTGATTAATGCTTACATTATCCTTTTTAATTCATGTTATTGAATTTTGCTAGATATTTTCTTAAAATTAGTAGAACTACACATGTAACTTTTCCTCTCTAACCTTAATTGGCCACTTAAGGGAAGCCACCTTTTTCCCTAGATTCCACGTGCAAAACAAAATTTTAAGAGACACTTTTCAATCTTTCCTCATTTAAGTCTTGTAGCCGAAAAGTCATTCAATGCCTAGGGGGAGGGAGAAATTCGAATAGACACCTTATGATTTTGTTCAAATATATCCCTCTTAATTAGGGCAACCAATTTTTGTTAATGCATATGAGATAGGAGAGAGAGAAATCGGTCATAATGACCTAGATTCTGAGCCTAAATAATTGCATTTAACACAATTATCAATTCCCTAGTTACCCTAATTAAATGTGGCCGTTTGTCCTTTCCTAAACCGTTACTTTGCAATCAATTGAGATTCCCTCATAAAAGGTGCAGCCGAGAATTAAAGGAAGATTAGAGCTCAAAATCCCTTCCCAAAACGTAAACTCTTCCTATTCTCGTGCCCTTTATTATAGCTGACCAATTTAATTCCATTTGACATTTATTCTAATGAACATTTATTGAGAAATTTCCTATACTTAATCACTCTCACGAGAAGTCTTTTCATCTAGCTGTTACATGCACCATAATTACCTTAATTACCTCCCACTTACCTTCAATGAATGGACACACGCTTAAATTCCCTTTCCCATATAATTGGAACCGACCGCCGCATTTGGGGAGTAATGATGCTAGCTTGAAAAGTCGCCACCTAAGGCATTTAAAACCCAAAATCGTGCATGACATTAATTGCATATTCACCACCTTAATTGCAAACTTTTTAAATTCTCACGCGTGTTTAATTGGTGCTAACCGGATTGTCATAAATTAGCATGATTCTTGCATACAATCATTAAGGATGCCCTTTCCATTCCCACTTACTCGAATAACCTTCCATTTTCCCATTTAACTGTCACTGGATTTATTTAATTACCCACCTGCATTTATTTAGGCGTGTCAATCAGCCTGGAACATTTCAAATGGAGCCATTACTTCCCCAAATCTGTGCCTGATATTGATCATATTTACCTTCCTTAATTACTTTGCATTAATTGCATGAACTAACTGACCATTCACATTATTTTTTCCTAATAACTGCGTCCTAATTGCGTTTAAACTGAGGGGACCTCACTTGCCTCATTTAAACCATCATTCAAGTTACTTAAATTACCTCTTAACCGCATTTAACCTCACGAGGAAAATGAAAGGATAGCCTACTCCACTTCCTTCTGGAGTTGACCCAGCCGCCAGCCTGCACTTATTAAACAACTAGAAACTTAGCAACATTTATTCTGGAAATTACGCCCCATTAATTGCATGCAATTATTTCTTGTTTTATGGCACTGGCCACATGCCTAAGGCAGAGAGAAAGGCGCCACCTTGTCTCGAGGAGTCCAAGAGGCATCACCTTTTCACTAGCCACTCAAAAGGACATCACCTTTTCAAATTCGCGGGACACAAAGGGTTTGAACCCATTTCCCTCCACAAGCAAACCCTAGCCGCCAACGTGCATTAATTACCCACTCTTGCCTAGGTCAAACCCCCCATTCGGTTACTCCATCGTGATGAATGGCGTGTGGAGACGTGTGGATCACCAACGACTTGCTTCTTTTGCACTCTGTGCATTGAATGCTCTCGACAAGGCGCATCACCTACACTTGGACACCATGAGACATGACTATTCAAGTGAGAAGGCGAAAGGGTATGTTACTTCGCCTAACCTAGCCCTAAAACCCTTCTTGTGCAACTCCTCACCGTCAACCCCTGGAAGACGAATGGGCAAAAGCTTTAAGCCACACTATATAAGGACACCTTCTAATCCTCATGTGCCCTTTTCCCCTTATTTTTCAAAAACACTCTCAACCTCACTACTTCTTTTCTCTCTCGACACCTTCTCACCCTCACACAAAACCCTCTACACCCTTTTCTCTCGTGGACAACACACTTCATCACCAACCACTCAAGGAGGTGACAAAACGCTAAGGACTCAAGTCGTGACCAAGATTCTGCTAGTACCAAGACCAAGCTTTCCACTCTATCTCTCTTTCTCAAACCAAACAAGGTTAGGAGAGCTCTTGTTTGCGCTTGAATGCATGTGGTTGTTCGTTAACTTGTAAACTCTGCATGCACTCTCTTCTTCTTGTTTTCGTCTCTGATCTTCATCAATGAAAATTACATGCAAACCATTTTCCTTCATCTTGTGGTGATTCTATTTGGATGGTGTTTTAAAAATCCATGTTTTGTAACTTGCGTGAACTTGATTGAGGTTGAAATAGTTTTGCATGTTGACAATATTGAAATCCTTGTATGAGTCTCGGACTTTTACCTTTATTATTGAATAAAGTTAGTAACTTTGATGAATATCCAATTGCATGTTAAAGTAACTCTATGAATCCTTGTGTTCTTTTCGGTTTTCATCAACTACCCTCCTTCCTTTTTGTTTTAGCTGAGAAATTACTCATCTTTTTCTCTCGGTTTGATTCTGTATGACCAAGGAACCCTTTTTCTTAACTATGAAAGAATTCTCCTACCACCTAATCACTATTTTACGAAAAATTTGTGGTAGAAATGAGTTGCATGTGTGATTAAACTTGCGGTTATTTCCATGATTCTTTGATGATTATTTTGTTTGCGAAGGTACATTTTGACTATTATATTTCAACGAAATTTTTATAACTATCTCTATCTTCTCTCCTTTTCTTTTATCCTCGGACTGTGGACGAATGATTCTTCTTTTCTTTGAACGTACTAGCTCTTATGAGCGTGGATTTGGTTATGTGGTTTGTGACATTTGGGAATTTAATGTGTGTTCAAAAATGGTGAAGTGAGAATGCGGTTACGAAACTCTTTATGTACACGATATGGAGGATGGAGAGTCAAGGTCACAGTTTAGCACAGCTGAGGGATGTGAGTGTTCAGGTTCGAGGGAAGGACCTTGGGGGTAGTGGAGGGGGGTTGCCCCAATAGTGCAGAATAGCTCACCGCGGCCGGGACACGTCGCCATCAAAACCTCCACTAATCCTGACCCGAGCAAGCATTACCGAGGATCATGGAAAGACTCGTTTCTGAGGGACCGAAATGGTTAAATGGGAGAATATTCTTGATGGATTACGTACAAGTGTGCTTGTAGGGAACGAGGGCCTCCGATCACCTTGACTGGAGGAATGGTGAGAACAAACTGAGGAAGTAGTGACGTTTTAAGCGTTAGTATTTAAATTATGTTGCGACAAACCTCTGTGACTCTGCCTGTATTTTGTAACTATTTATTGGGCATTTTGTTATGATTGTGTGTTTATTAAGATGTGACTTCACAAGTGATTGATATTACTCTGATTTTCTTACTTACTCAATATCTGATGAGTGATTGTATTGGAGCTCACCCTTTCTGTTCGTGTTCTATTGTTGTGTGTTTGTATGTATTGCATGACCGTGTGACAGATGGACCTTCAGCAAGCAATGATTTGGGGAGAGGATTCCGGGGAGAAAGCAGTCTGCATTGATAGCGACCCGGACGACCTGCCACCCTCTTCTCGCCCTCAGCCAGTGGATGACCCTTCCGACTTCGATGGATTAGAATCTGATCCCAGCGAGGATTCACTTCCATTAGAATTTTATTTATAGGCTGTTACTTTATTTTGTCATGGATGAATACTGCTCGTAGGCTTTGAGTTATTTTATTGCTTTTGAAAATACTAGACTTTGGGGTTTTACTTTACCGTGGACTTTACTTTGGACATTTGGCTGGATAATTTACAAGATGTTTTCTTTTACTCATGTTCTCTTCGCTACATTTCTAGAATCTTACTCCAAATGATTTACGATTTTATGTACTTACTCTGATGTTGTTATAAAACCATTCTGGAAACTATTAATGTAGTTCACATAAAAGCATTGTATGTTGTATGAAATGAAACTAATTGGAAGTATGATTCGTGATAGGTGAACTCGAATCAAGTATGTTGTTGTGTTTTTTTTATTTCTGAAACTTGATTGGAGTTGTTATGATTAAATGAATAAATTCTTGAGGCAAAAATGTGAATACCAAAAGCTAATATTGTTAGCGTTAAATTGTACAATGAGGAATTGTATTGTGATTGTCTATGGAGGCATTTTGAACTAGCCATGGAGGATGTAAAGTCGAAATTGTGCCCTGTGATATGAATTGTATGTAGCTGATAGAATCTCTCTATAATGCAGTTTTGACAATGAATTCTTTTACTCGTTAGTTCAGGTGTATCATCTTATAAATATTAAAACCATAAGATAAATAGATGGAGTTTTGGTAGAGATTTAGGTGTTACAAATGGACTCTAATTTTTTTAAAAAAAAACTTGTTTATTTACTTTTTGGTTTGAGGTATACAGGTTAATTTTAACTTATGAAATAAATTTGATATTTTGAAGTTAACAGTACCTAATCTTAAAAATGGATGTATGTGCATTATTATTTAGAAGCAATGTTTTGAAAAGTGAATCAGACTAACAAGTTCGATTGATTGAACTAATCAGGTAACGCTCAAACCAGGTTAAGTTAACAATCTCCTTGTGGATTATAAAGGTTCAGGTTGAGTCTCTCCAGGTCATCATTCTTAGGGTCACAATTGGCATCTGACAATAACACACCATTCTTTACTCTATTTCTACTGGAGAAAAGCTTTTTAGCATAAAAAGTAAAGCACGAATTGTCCACAAAATCAATTACTACCTCCTTCTCATATTTTTTTCACTTTAATGTGTTTTTTTTTTCTAATTTGTTTGTTACTTTAGAATATTAGAGCATTATTAATTTTTTTATTTAAATTTCCTCTCCTTAATTAATTGACATGTAAATTAAAAAATTATGTTTATATTTTCAACAATCAGTCTCTCTGCATTTCTCTCTCTACATTCATAAAGAGACAAATAATATTTCATTTTTTAAAGATATTTTACTTTCATATTATTGGTGGATTAATCCTTTTTCTTCTAAGGAGAAAAGAGCATAATGCCTACATTAAGTCCACCCAATGAGACATGCGGAAGGTTGGAGAGAGAATAACAGCCTAACAGGTGAGAGAAAAAAAAAATTAATGTAGAGAAAAAAAATGATATCATGAAATTTTTTTTACAAAATTTAAAATAATACTCTTTTTAGTTTTTTTATAAAAAATAAAATAGAGTATATTATTAGTCTTAGTTACGAGAAATACAGAATAATTTGATATATATTAATTATTAATTTATTTTTAATTTTTTATTGTTAAATATATATTTATGAGATAAATTATTTTTTATGTAAGTTACTGATTATATCATCTAATATCATAGATATTTTTAAAATAAAATTTATATTGTAAGAAATATAATTAATTTAATTATTTTTTATAATAATTCAATCTTTTATTTTTTATAAAAAAAACACGTAACCGAAAAAGTTATAAATATTAGTTACATAAACTATTTTTAAAATTTTTTTTTTATCGACCTGTATGGTGATGCAGGAGAGTTTGTTAATCAATTTTAAATTAATGATTTCTTACCTCAAATATTTGTATTGAATGTTATTTGTATTCCAACAAGTACTCCCTATAATCCTGCTATGACCCATTAAGGGGCTTTCTAGATGTAATTATTTACATCATAGAAATCCATAATTGAAGTTAGTGTTTGTTACAATGATATTAGCTACCTTCGTCAAATGGCACATATCGTAATTATTACTTTTGGATTAACTATATCACCTTTACCAATGCTCTGCGCGTGGACCCAAAGTGCAGACAGAGAAGGAGCCAGCTACACACCTCTAACATTTATAACTCATCCATCACAATTACATGCAAAGTCAAACACATCCCCTCATGACCATGAAATTGGGTTTCTCCCCTGTTTTTTAGTTCATTGCAATCACATGAAGTTTCCTCTTATTTGAATAATTTTTAATTCTATATTTTCCTTTTAAAACTCTTTTTGTTCATAAATAAAGAAATGATTAAATACTTTTTAATGTTTTTTAACTATTAAATGTATTTACTTTTTAATTTAAATTTTTAAAATAATTGGAGGATTATTATGAAAAATTTGTAAGAAAATACAGCATTGTTCCTTACTTTATTTTAAGTAATTTTTAAATATAAAATTTAAAACACAATTTTTTAAAACAAATACAAATAATTATATTTTTATTTATTAATAAATAGAGAGTTATTTAATTTTTTATTTAGCCAAAATATTCATTGTTTTTATATTATTAATTCAAGTAATTTTAGTTTAAATTAATTGTGGTTAATGAGTATTTTAGGCAATTTATTTTAGATAAACAGACTTTTACTGTTTCTTGAAAAAGCTTAAGAAAAATCTTTCTTAAACAAATTAAATAGACGTACGGTTAATTAAGTTCAACCTTAGTTAAATATTACTTTCAACCTCAAAATTAAAAGATATTTGAAATAAATTTTATAGTTAAAGTTATTACGCCATGAGCTTCCATCCTAGAAATTATAAAAAATGGACCTCCAAGTCTTCTTCACACCAGTTAAATCACCACTATCTGTATGTATATACTTTTAATATCAAAGTTTTGGGAAGAAGACTTTTCTACGCGTTTACATGAAGGAAGACTATATTCACTCTTCAAGAGTGGTTGTCACCAGTTACAACATATGGATCCACCCATAATCAATACAAAAAGTGAGACCACACAACATAATATGAGGGCCTTTGCTATAAAGATAACATATGATTGATTATATGGATGAACTAAACCTTCCCCTTAAGTGCCTTTGTTCAATGTCAACTAAGTTAAGCTCACCATGAAGGAATCCCACATTGCCATTATCATTATACTGCACCTATTTTTCTTCCATTTAACCACTTGTGATTTAATTAATGGCCCTTCAGATAAAATCCTCCTAAACTGTGGTTCTTCAGGTGCATCACCATTCAATGGTGAAAATTGGATAGGTGACATTGGATCTAGTTTCTTGCCTTCAGAGTATGAGAAGAGTTCATCTACACGCTTGGTCTCAAACATAAACTCTTTAGCACCAAAAGTCCCATACTCTACAGCAAGAATAACTCATTCTCCATTGATCTACTCATTCCCCTTCTCCCCTGGCCTTAAATTCATTCGTATATACTTTCTCTCATCTTCACATTTGATGATGAAACCCTCCAAGGCTTACTTTTCTGTCAAAGTTGGTCCTTACACTCTTGTTAGTAATTTTAATCCATCTATTGCTGCAGATGAGCTTGACTTACTGTCTTTCACTAAGGATTTCTTAGTCAATGTCAAGGAAGAAAAACTGAACATAACTTTCACTCCATCTCCTCTAATTTCCAATGCATTTGCTTTTCTAAATGGCATTGAGATCTTTTCAGTGCCCAACAACATATACTACCAAGGTTCTAAGTTTCCTGTTCCTTTCCTTAGGCATCGGGAGCCATTATTTATTAATGATGAATATGCTCTTGAGATACTTTACCAAGTTTACATCTTTAATGAGTTTGGCTCTAATGTTGAAAATTATTTTGGGACATGGTTGAATGATTTCAACTACATATATGGTTTACAATATGGAAAAGTCCTTAATATAAAATCTCGTACCATTAAAATAAATTCCACCACTTTGACTTCAAAGGACTACAATTATTCAGCGCCAGAAGAGCTATGTTGGACTGCAAGGACCATGGGTAGCAATGGAGATGCCAACACGAGATACAATCTAACATGGTCTTTCCCTGTTGATTCTGGATTCAGATACCTTGTTAGGCTTCATTTCTGCGAGATCTCCATGGAGGTAACACAGGTCCATCAAAGGGTGTTCAAGGTGTACATAAACAACCAAACAGCAGAGGAGAGGATGGATGTAGTGGCTTTGGCTGGTGCACCATTAACTCCTTTATACAAGGACTATGTTGTTACGGTTCCTATGGAAAGTAGGAGAAGGAAAGATATGTGGATCGCACTTCATCCCAACTTGGAGTCAAAACCAAAATATGCTGACGCCATATTGAATGGTATTGAGATCATCAAGTTAAGTTCTAATTATAATCTTGCTGTAAGTTTCCAACTGAAAGAGGAACAAAAGGAGAAGAAAGCTTCACATGTCGTTGTTTTGGCTGGTTCTTTAGGTGCCATTTTGGGACTGCTCATTACATTTTTCATTGTTATTCATAGAATTCGGAAAAAACTAAAGGGTAAAACTTCTCAGGTTCTTCCTCAAGTAACAGTGACCTCAAGTAATTGCCATCAATTCACATTAGAGGAGATAAGAACAGCAACCAACAATTTCAGTGAAGCTCTTGTCATTGGGGAGGGAGGCTTTGGAAAGGTATATAGAGGGATCATGCATGATGGAGTTACTCCTGTGGCAGTAAAGCGCTCTAATCCTACTTCTCGCCAAGGATTTAAGGAGTTTCAAAATGAGATCAATTTTTTCTCATTTTGTCACATGAATCTAGTGTCACTATTGGGCTACTGCCAAGAGAGCAATGAGCTAATACTTGTTTATGAATTCATGGCTCAGGGCCCTCTTTGTGATCATTTATACAAGAAACAAAAACAGCAATTGCCTTGGGATCAAAGACTAAAGATTTGTGTTGGTGCAGCTCAAGGACTACATTACCTTCACACTGGCACAAAGTACCCAGTGATTCACCGTGATATCAAGTCAGCCAACATATTATTGGATCAGAATTTGGTAGCCAAGGTTGCAGATTTTGGGTTATCTAGAATAGTGCCCTCACTTTACCACACACATGTTAGCACTGAGGTTAAAGGAACTATTGGATATTTAGACCCTGAATACTATAAGAGGAGAAAACTGACAGAAAAATCTGATGTGTATTCATTTGGAGTGGTTTTGTTTGAAGTGTTAAGTGGAAGACCAGCCGTGAATCCTGTGGCAGTGGAAGAGGAAAATGAGAAAGTTGGGTTGGCCATGTGGGCCATGCATTGTTATCAGTCTGGAACCATTGATCTATTAGTTGACCCGCATTTAGAAGGAAAGATTACGCCAGAATGCTTGAAAGCTTTTGTGGATATTGGCATTGAGTGCTTGGCTAATAAGAATGCAGAAAGGCCAACTATGGGGGAAGTGCTTACTAATATGGAGAAGATCCTTTCCTGGCAGGAGAGTTCAAAGGAACAAGAAATCAGTACAAGTCGATCTATGCATGAGATTGTACTAGAGTAATTTGAGTAAATGAAATGGCCAGGTCCAACAGATGAAAATGATGGCTAATGTATTGAGTGTTTAATCTAAAACCAATTTTTTATCACTCAATGTCATAATATTATAGGATTACTTCATATAAGATCTTTTCCCTATTTCTAATGCTAATTAATATTGTCTATAACATGAGTTAGCAAAAATGTCTTCTTGCGGGGGCTAACGGATAACCATATCCATTTTCTCAATATTAGTGTTTTGTAGACTTTTTTTATTTTTATTTTTACCAAATTTGTCTTTTTATGTTACCATTGTAGTTCTTTAAAAAGACAGGAATAAAAATGTTTTAATTTTTGATAGATTAATTAAATGACAATTTAAAAAAAAACTACTAAATACTTATATTTTGATAAGTTAATTTGATAACAAAAAGGTACCAATAATTAATGTGATTATACTTTGACTTCTTACGAAACAGTGGGCTTACTCTTATTGTTCTACAGTTTCATGGTGATTACAGTAACATTGGATAAGTGACACACCGACGAATTGACACTTGGCAATCAGGATAACCTCATTATTGATTGTCGGGACTCTGGAAGAAATAGATCCTCCATTAGAATTCTGCACCAATACCAGCTCACTTATATAATATTTATATTAATGTTTGAATGCGTATGAATCCGTGTTTATATTAAAGTTACTGGTTAAAAGTTTAAAAGTTTTTCAATTGGCACACTCTTTTAAAAACTAAAGATATCTTCTTAAATTGAAGACTTCTGACTTAGAGAAGTCTTGAACAGATGTACATTAGCTGGATTTTGAAATTTATGAATATGAGCATTGTTGTCCTACTTCATTTAATATGAAATTGATGTATAATCACGAGTGATGGAAGTATACATGTAAAGTCTAAGTAACTGTTGAAAGCCGGAAGGAAAGCAATTTTTGTTGAAAATTCAAACTACAGTATTGGGACAGCTCACATAGAGACCTAGAACAAAGTTTTAAAGCTAGTCATTTTTTCCCTTCTCAGATATCTGTGTTGAAACAAGAACAATGAAGAGAATTATGAACGGTGTCACATGTTCTATGTACATTTTTATCTTATATCTCTTACACCTACAACTAATTGCAATTGCAGATAATGTTAGTTATGTTCCCTCAGAGAACATAGTTCTCAACTGTGGGTCTAACACATCAAAACTTGTACAAAATGATGGTAGGTACTGGAATGGTGACATTGCTTCACCATATGTTTCCTCTAATGCTAACACCAAGTCCCTAATAGCTAGAGCCCCTAACACTCTTCAATATATTCCTGAAGTTCCCTATATGACTGCTAGGATCTTCAGGTCTCAATTCACCTACAAATTCAATGTAACCTCAGGTCCAAAATTCATTCGCCTTCACTTCCACCCAGCTTCCTATACGGATCTCAATATCTCCAATGCTTTTTTATCAGTCAGTGCAGGTAACTTCACTCTTCTCCATAACTTCAGTGTTTCCCTCAACGCTGATTACTTCAACTTATCATATTTCATGAAAGAATTCATTGTCTATGTAAGTGGGAGTACTTTGGAACTCACTTTCACTCCATCATATAATGATTCTGATGCCTATGCATTTGTGAATGGAATTGAGGTTGTTTCAATGCCACTTGATTTATATATTTGTGGTGATGATGCACCTCTTCCCTTAGTTGGCCATGATCCCAAAATTGTGTACATTTATAATGATTCTGCAATGGAAAACTTGTACAGATTGACTGTAGGAGGTGAGCAAATCTCACCCAAATATGACACTGGGATGTTTCGCACTTGGGACACCGATGAGCATTACATTTTTGGGGCTAACATAGGTATTCAACCCTCTAATATGGCCATGCCAGTTTTGTTTGCAAATAATGCTCCAACATATACTGCCCCAGAAGATGTCTACCGCACTTCTCGTTCAATGGGTCCCTTAGGAAGTGGCATTGTTAATTTAAATTACAATCAAACGTGGTTTTTTCCTGTTGATTCTGGCTTCAATTATCTAGTTAGGCTTCACTTCTGTGAAGTTGATTATGATATAACAAAGGTCAATGAAGTAGTTTTCTCCGTGTTTCTAAATAATCAAACCGCTGAAACATATGTTGATCCAATTGCAATGGGTGGGGGACCTGGATTTGCTATCCATCGAGACTACGTCGTGATGGTTCCCCAAATTAATGAGGGAAAGCAAGATCTGTGGCTTGATCTACACCCAAACAAGGATTCTAAACCTATGTACTACAATGCTTACGTGAATGGTGTGGAGATCTTTAAACTTAGCACTTTTGATGAGAAGAATCTTGCAGGGCTTAACCCTTCTCCAAGGAACTCTAAATCAAGTGTAATTGTTAAGGCTCCCCATGTTGCAAAGTTTAATAAAAAAAAGAAATTCACTATCATCCTCACTGGATGTGGATTTTTTGCAGTGGCACTATCAATTCTGTTGTATTTTGTTCCACACAGGTCAAAGGTGATTAGGTGTAGAAGGATCATGTCATGGTGCGGTCTTGCTCTCCATATACCTAATCAAATTGAAAAGGCAAAGAAATCATCATTTTGCTGTCATTTTTCAATGAAAGAGATAAAAGTAGCAACCAATGACTTTGATGAGGCTCTACTTATTGGCACTGGTGGGTTTGGCAGTGTTTACAAAGGTAGTTTTGATGGTGGTGCAACTTTTGTAGCCATAAAACGTGCCAATCCAATGTCAGAGCAAGGTGCTTCAGAATTTGAGGCAGAAGTTCTTTTGCTCTCAAAGCATCGGCACAACAACCTAATCTCACTTTTGGGTTATTGCAATGAAGAAGGAGAGATGATACTGGTCTACGATTTCATGGCAAATGGAACTCTCTATGGTCATCTTCATATGAGGCAGGGAGATCAACCCCCTTTGACTTGGATTCAACGTCTTGAGATATGCATTGGAGTTGCAAAGGGTTTGCACTACCTACACACTGGCACAAAGCACAGTATCATCCACCGTGACATAAAGACAACTAACATACTCTTAGATCATAACTGGGTGCCCAAAATTTCGGATTTTGGATTGTCAAAGGCAAGTTACCCTTCCATAATCACCACCAACGTCAAGGGAAGTATTGGTTACCTTGATCCAGAATACTATCAATGCCACAAGTTGACTGAAAAATCTGATTTATACTCACTTGGGGTGGTGCTATTGGAGGTGCTAAGTGCAAGACTTGCTGTAAGCCAAGGTGAAGATGATGAGCAAGTAAACTTGGCTGAATGGGTTATGTCGTGCTTTGAGAATGGAAGTGTAGAGCAAATAATGGATCCCAGTATAGAAGGAAGCATAGTTAAAGAGTGCTTTGAGTTATATTTAGGAGTTGCAATGAAATGTGTGGCTGAAAGTGGGGTGGAGAGACCATCCATCGGTGAAGTTCTGCAGAGCCTTGTTCAGGCTATGCATTGTCAGAAAAATGCTAGTACTACTCAAGATGTAAATGTAAATAGGAACTACAATTCAGGTTTACAGGGTAATTCAGACTTGACACCGGGGGTTGAGTTTTCTGATATCATGATGCCTATAGGTCGGTGAATGTGATCTTTTGGAAACAAATTGCATTGATGCTGTTAGGTTCTAAGACTTCTAATTTAGCATTGTTTGAGTTGAGTTATTAGTTTGCATAAAATGAACAATACTTCGTTAGCAGAAACATCAGCAGTGCGTGCCAAAAGAAAAGACTAATTCCTATTTTGTGAAAAAGTTACGTATCTTAGACACTAACGATACTGCAAATTGCACTACACCCTCTTGTACATATTATGTATCATAAATACATCAATATAACATGAATATTCAATTTTATCTGGTTCTAACTTTTACTTAATCAAAATTAAAATTTAAAATTTAAAATAATTATTTCAGCCCAGTTAACTACAAGCAACGTCTAATATACAAGTGTGTGAACGCGACTGTGCACATGTGCAAGAGACTTTATCACCAAATGCAATAAAATAAAATAAAATAATTTCAACTATAAAAATTAATCCCAAAAAAGTATCACTTTTTCTTAACAAAAATATATATAATAAATCAGATTTGTAAAAGTATACTAAATATTTGAAAGTGATCTAAATAAAAAAAAAAAACTACAATTAAGATAAATGATACTCTTTCAAATTAAAAGGCTAAAACAAAATACACATGAAAATATAAAAATGAAAGCCCTTTTCATGAATGTTTAAGAAATAATTAAAATTCTCTTTTAGTTACTAAAATTAATCCTATAATTAACAAAGTTATTTATCATAATAAGAAGATATATATTGAAATACTAAATTAATAGATAATTTAAATATTTAGAAAACAATTTCCTACAAATGACCAAAATATTTAAGAAAAATTGACTATCCACAGTACTGAATTGACCTGTGGATAAGAATATAAGAAAGTAGATGACTAGACTTAAAAATAAAGTTGGAAGGGGAACGAATGAACAATAGACAAAAGTGGATAGAATATTTCTTTTATTTTGCTTTTTCACAATTACAAATTTCAAGAACACGGAGTGGTAAGGAAATTGTTTCTTATTCAAGATGTGATTGACGAAGAAGGAGAGGAAATGAATAAGAAAGAACGGAGAAAATGACTGCAACTTCTTTTTAATTTCTCATCTTGATTCAGATACATTTACTAAAAAAGAAATTTACATCAAGAAAGACAATTATAGGTTAAGTGGTTGACCAAACAAAGAATTACGGTTTATGTTATTTGACCATTACAATATTATAGTATTTTTATAAGAAAAATGTATTAGATTATATTATTTTTTATTTTTAAATAAGAAATGATATAATAAAAATACAATCGGAAAATATTATTACTGAAGGATAAAACCAGATAAATATCTCCACAAAGAAAAAAATTGAAGCTGTATCGTTTATAAATAAATAATTCATTAGGCTTCATAACAACTATAATCAAGGGATAGTTTTATCATTTATATATTATTTATAGTTATAGAGGTAAGTTAAAATAATTTTATTATATATATATATAATTTTATTATTAAATTATAGGTATATTTAGTTTAAAATAAAAAAATATGTGTATTGTACTGAGTACTAAATTAGTATATTATTATTTTTTAAAGAGATAGAGTGAAGAATAATATCTCTATTCTTGATTGCATGTATTTTTTTTTAATATCAATAATATACATTTTAATATATTTTTCATCGTTAAAAAGTATTTAACTAAAATTATATAAATTTTATTCATATTTTTATAATTTTTAAATAAAAATAAGAATATGTTTTGAAAAATTATTAACAAAGTATGTTATTAAACCTTTTAAAAAAAAAGGGATAAAGATAGAAAATGAAAACTTAGCGTTGAAGGAGGAAATAGTGAAAGTGAGGTGTATAAAAGTGCTGGAGCAAAGGCACCTGCAATGATTCATCAGAAAAATGAGTGGAGGCAACGGAGGCAGCGGAGGCAGCGGAGGCAGCGGCGACAACGGGCGTAGCGGAGGCAGCGGCGACAACGGAGGTAGCGGAGGGTGGGGGTCTTGGCTCCTCAAAGGAGCGAGCGTAGTTGTGGGAGCAGCCGCAGTTGCAGGTGGTTTATATACCGTTCTTTCATCATCTAACTCTCAGCAAGTTCCCTTCACTCATCGTGCTACCTCTTCCTCACCTCATCACCAAACTCCATTGCAGGTTCCAATTTTCTCATCATTTTATTTCAAATTCAGTTATACTTTCCTCTCATTAATACATCAACTTAATCACCAAACACGTACATCACACCAGGATTGTTTGAATGTGTTTTTTTAAGTTTTTATATCTTAGTAATTTCTTATAATTTTTTTAGTTTTTAATAAACTATTATTTTTAATTTCACTTATATTTTTAATTTCACTTACTGATTTTACAACTTTTTAGTAAATTAAATTAGTAATAAAGAATAGAAATAAAAAATATATATAAGTTAATTTAAATTATATAAGTTTTTATTTATACATAGATTTTGTATTGGAAAGCTGATCTTTCAAATGATTTTCAAACACATACACTTAGAAGTGGTGGAACCACGTTATTGTGATTATTATTATTTATTTCTGTTTTGCATGCGCTTCTAAGTATTTTTATTTTTAATTATTTTCATCACATCACATCTTTATCATTTTTTAATCTTTTAATAACACTGCTATAATGTTTAAATTAAAGATAAAATAAAAACATAAAAACTAGTGTAAAAATAAAATAAATATATTGTTTAGATGTGTAAAACTAATAGGAAAAAAAGTAAAAATGATCTTTTACTTTAGACAAGTAGAAAATACAGAAGAATTAAGTATATTATGTAAAAAATTGTGATAATAATACAAATTCAATTTATTAAATAATTTAAACCTTTTTATTATAATAATTTATTGATATTATTTGATTATATTAAAATATTAATTATTAACAGAAAAGTAATTAAAAGAACAACTTACCTGCTCCCCTTTTCTGACGAAAAAATCATTGGCTTCACCACGAACTACTGCTACTCCCATGGCCGTATATTTCATTATAAGTTGTATGTGGGCTTACAGATGGGATGGAAGAAACCAGAAATCGGTTGGGTGAAGCTAAACGTGGATGGTTCGCGTGAGCACGAAGGTCCCTCTGCTGGTTGTGGTGGGGTTCTGAGGGATGAATCAGGAACGTGGCTCTGTGGCTTTGCTCTGAAATTGGATCCCACCAATGAAGCCCACGAGACTGAGTTACAGGCCATTCTGGTGGGTCTGCAACTGGGTCGAGAAATGAAAGTTGAGAAACTTGTTGTGGAGTCAGATAGTGATTCGGTTGTGAGCATGGTGGAGAATGGACTTGGATCCAAGTTTCATCGTCGTGAGTATCCTGTGGTTCAACGCATAAGGAGTCTTCGTTTTGATCCCACGTGGGAAGTGAAGTTGGTTCTTGTCCCTAGAACAGTTAATCGGGTTGCTAATAGACTCGCCAACAATGCTCGAAATTTGTCTTCTGATGAAATTGAAAAGTACTTTTCACCCCCAGATGAGTGTTGTCGGTCATTTCACTTGGCAGATATTACCCAAACAGCTACTCAATTCGTAACTATGTATGAATATGAATGATCAAGTGCCTTAGTTGGATGGACTCCATAATTAAATGCACTGCTTCTACTACTACTTTTATGCGTTTTTCTGTGTGAACCTTAAGAAGTTTCTACTCTGTTTTTATCGTACTATCCTGAATGTTGTACTAGTTAACTTCATGAAATATTGTTGTATTATTTGCTTTCAGTGTTTAAGATTTTGCGTACAACAAAGTATCACTTTAAATAAATCGCGTTGAAGAGATACTTTGAAATTTGATTTTAAAGCATTGTCTCATAAGTCTCATGAGACCATACGACCACTTCAAGCACACCCCATTAAAGCAAGCTCTCTCTTTCATACACAGTCAGTAGGAAAAACGAAAAAAAGAATAATCAAATTTCCACCCACAAAATCATCTCATGGTTGCACCAATGGACATGAATATTTCATATTTTCAGTAACCAAATTACTAATTGATGTACCAGGGAGATACGTATAGAAGCAAACTTGATATTTAAGAACCACAATATTAACTTTTTAATATATATATATTACAATTTGAGTGAGATAGTTTTTCTTTAATTTTGGGGAGAAAGTATTTTAAATTGAGTGTATATAAAAATATAATTATATAATGTTAAATATGATATTAATTAATTGAAATTGATTGTATCAAAATGTCAGGCTAGAATCGAATGATGTTTCGAACCCATCACGCACACTCCTAAAGAGTGTATTATTAAATCGACAAATTTATTATAATATTGTAAATTAAAAAATAATTTATTATTTTATAGCAAATTTGAAATAATTTTTTAATTTAGAATTTTTTTGCTACGTAGATCAAATTTTTGTCAAACGGCTGACGAAAGTAATTAATTTTTAAATTTTTTAATATTTATTTTGCCACAAATATGACTTCTTAGAGCGGTTAATTTAAAACCACTCTTATAAGTCTATTTTAGAGAGCAGTTCCTTTTGAACCGCTCTCATAACTCTATTTTAGAGAGCGGTTCCTTTTAAACCGCTCTTAGAAGTACATATTAGAGAGCGGTCCTGCGGGAACCGCTCTCTTAGGTATATACAGCCAATTGTATACAAATCTATATAAATTTTACATACAAATTTTATATAAATACAAAACTCTAATTACTAGCATAAAATTAAAAAATATTTTATTTTTTTCATATTTCCAATTTAAATCTACATAAATTACATTTAATTTATAATTATATAAAAACTATTACGTTTTTTAAAGTAAAAAATATTATTATTTACATACAAATTTTATTTAAATACAAAACTCTACTTACTGCATAAAATTAAATTACATTTTTATTTTTTTATATTTCTAATTTAAATCTACATAAATTTTATATAAATAAAAAACTCTAATTACTAACATAAAATTAAATTATATTTTTATTTTTTCATTTTTCTAATTTAAATTTACATATATTACATTTAGTTTATAATCATATAAATTATATTACGTTTTTAAAAGTAAAAATTTTTATTATTTACATACAAATTTTATACATACATTTCATATAAATTATGATTATTGCATTTAAAATTTTACAATTTTAAAATTTTACTTCAATATAAGTGTAAAAATTATTTATTACAATCAAACTAAGTATAAATTATTATATTTAGTTTTATATAATTATTTTATTTAACTCAATTTTTATTATTCTGTATTTTAATAAATATCTATAATAATTCACGTAAACAAATTTTATAAATCTTAATTTAACCTATCTTCTTAACAAGGCAAAACATGTATCAAGGATCGGTTTCGCTAACTGCAGGGCGAAATAAACTTTCGCCAGTAGCAGCGCGAATCATCTCAGATGTTGCCACGTGTATCAAAATCTTCCCAGCCGTTCATTTTAAATCTAAGAGAGCGGTTCGAAAGGAACCGCTCTCTAAAATGAGTTATGAGAGCGGTTCCTTTAAAACCGCTCTCTAAAATAGACTACTGAGAGCGGTTTCTTTTGAACCGCTCTCTAAAATAGACTTATGAGAGCGGTTTTAAATTAACCGCTCTAAGAAGTCATATTTGTGGCGAAATAGATATTAAAAAATTTAAAAATTAATTACTTTTGCCAGCCATTTGGCGAAAATTTGATCCACGTGGCAAAAAAAATTCTAGATTGAAAAATTGTTTCAGATTTGCTATAAAATAATAAATTATTTTTTAATTTACAATATTATAACAAATTTGCCTATTAAATCACTCCCAAAACTATTATAATTTGTAAGTCGCGTTAGATTCTTATGACAAGAGCTTCTCAATTTAATTCTTCACTTCAACAATTATAAAAAAAATTGCTTTGTCATATTAATGTATATTAGTCAACTTATTTCCTGATTTTGTTATGTACAATCAGCTTCAACTATAATGTCAGTAACCAAATCTACTAATGGTTATCAAATATTATTGTCAAAATAAAAAACAAAATTGAATGATTTTGTAATGTGAAAATATCAAACTAATTAATGATATCAAATTTTGAAATTAAATTAATTGACAATTATAAAAATTAACAACTGTTTTTTAATTATTAAAATGTAATTTAATCCATTCATATAATTTTAAGAATTAATTGATATATTATTCCATGCCCGTATGTTTATATCTTTGCCGCGAAGGCCTTTTTCATCCCAAGTAGCTAATCTTACCACGTGCTCTGATTCAGTCTATGAAGCATTGATGAGAACCTCAAGGGGTTCAAACGCCAGAACAGTGTCTCCGTTGTAGCCATTATGGCTAATGGCCCACATAATGACACTTTGCAACTTTTTCCATTCATAATTCCAATCCTTTTTTCATTCTCTGCACACTTTATTATGTACAAACATTGTGGATAACAGACACAATAAACATGTAGAATCTTGAAGCTGACACCATTGACTGAAGATTAAGCTAAGAGCCAGAAATCTTTGTGACGCTTAGTAGTGATCATGTAGCCTCCACTTTTCTTGCTTTTTCTTCTCACAGCAATTGCCATGCAATGTGCATTCTGAATGCAATACTCTACCACCCCACCAGTCACTCTATGGCCTGCCCACATCATTAGAAGACGCCATGTTGTGGACCTCTTCTTCTGCCCCAATACCAGAAGTGCCACGCCTTGTTTTTGGGCCTCTTCCACTATTTTTGGGCCCTTTTCCTTTCCTTCTATTACTGCAATCTCAATTTGTACCTATCAGAATCATATAATTAATTTTAACCTGTATTTGTCACATTGACATCTAGTAAAATGTTGTCACCAATTGGGACTTAATCTATAGGCACGCCTCACTGATTAACCATTAATGATTTTCCAACACCATGGTTCAAAGGATGAAATTTTGATTGATGATCCAAAGAAGAAATTCAACAAATTTACATGGGTTCACCTAATTTTACTAATTTTAACATTTTGAGCCCTTATCAGAAACAAGGGTTTAACAGGACTAAGAGAATGTTGAATGATAATATAGGTAGTGGTACTGTATAACATGACGTCTAAAAAGCGAACTAAACTCACCTCAGGCCTTTTCACTTGACACATGTTCTTGAAGGAGGAAGCAAGTTCATAAGCCCTTGGAGCTATCTCCTTGCTGGACTCTTCATCGGTGGCTGCCACATTAAGTATGAACTATATTTAATCACTTTGATTCATAACAAATCAAGTCAAAGTTGAATGAAAATACAATGCTATGATAAGTTTTTTTTGCACCTTGTTTGTTAGAAGGCTTCATCACATGAAGAAGAACTATAGTATCCTGGTTCTGAACTGTGTGAGTGAGTGCCCATTGCACAGCACCTTTGGCCTCAAGGCTAGAATCAACCACAATCATGATCTTTCTACCAATCACAGACCCAGGTTTCCCCACATCATCGGATTTCTCCTCACAAGCACTGCATGAATTCTCGGTTTTCTGATCAATATTAGTGGCACTTGTTGTGTCATGTTTGGCTTGTGCAGGTGGTGAACGCACTCTAGCATGAGGCCTAATTCTGTTGAGGCAAAAGCCTGGTAACCTTGTTCCTCTCTTTCCCATGTCTTGGAATGCAGTTGGAGAAGACACAAATTATTATAAAGGGGAATAACAGAGAAAGAGCAACAATAATACCCTGCTGGGGCTGAGCAAATTTAGCAAAATGTTGGCCTGGGACATGGTTCATTTTTTGCTTTGCTTTCTCTTTTACTTTTCTTAATTATCATTTTTTTAGTTCTTGGTTTCTTTTGTTTTTTCCTCCCTTTGTGGAGGGGCCTTGTATTGTTCCACATGAACGTGCTTGTCATCAAACTGTAGGCCCATTCTCCCTCTTGGACCTGACCCTCAAACATGGTTAGAAAATCAAGTTCATTATTATAGCACTTTGTTTTTCCTTCTAACAACTCATTAGAGACTTGTTCTCTTATTAATTGCAAGATAAATGCTAGTAGCACGTTCTTTTATACTCTTTAATACACTTCCATGTCATTGATTTGTTTTTTTAAAAGATCAAAACATGTCTCGTAAATTAATTATTTTTTAAAAATTACTTTGACGTTTTAAAAATTGATCAATTATAATTTATAAGAAATGTGTTGAAGAGTATGTTATTGCTACAGTTTTTTCTATTGCAAAGCCCCATTTCATATCATAACAGGGTGTCTCTTTTTCCCCTTTTGCTTTTCTCCCTTTATTTTGTTGAAGGGACTGTTAGGTTACAACAACAAAGCATGTGAACCAAGATAAATGGATAAATAAATAAAGTTTGTTTGCGGTTTCACTAGCATCTAACTGATTTAAAAAGGATATGCTTTGCAGCTTTAACATATAGTTGTGAATGTCTTGCTGTATCCTTTACTCTAGGTATAGTTTTCTAATGATGCAAGTTTCAGTCATTATACCCTTATCATCCAAATCAGGAATAGTAAAGAAAACAATGTCTACAAATTAGGCAAAGAGATTTTCAGGTGCAGCATTTCTATAAATTATTATTAATTGCTCTGGCAGAATTTCTTCCACTGAATAACATTGCAAACTGCAGTGATGAACTATGATGACTAACCAGTTACCAGTTCCTTTTGCATTTCGTTGTGTCAAATGGCTTTCTTCCTACGCTACAGGCTCATCATTTTGATCATACTAATTGAATTTCAATTTAATAATACAATGATGTTTCCCATAAAGAAAAGGATAAAAGAATGATTAATTTGATAAAAGGGTTGGGTTCATAATGTGTATTTGCAAAGTTAAAATAATGTCAGATTTTTCTTTAAGGTTATGTGGCATCTAGCCAAGAGGCAAATAAAAAATCTTCCCTCAACTCTAGCTGGCTTTATCCTTTATCCAATATTTGTAGTCACATATTTTCTGAATCCCGTAAAAAGGTGACATTCTGAAAATGACAAACTATGCATTTTTGGGACCTTCATATGTTGTGTAAACGGTGGCTCCTTAAAATTAGCCAATTCAATTACTTGCACACAACTCAAGCATATTACCAAAGGTGACTCCCAATTAATCTTTAATACTTTGGTGATTATTTACATGCAACAAGAAGCAAATGAGTTAATGACATGTGATGCACATGAAAAACCTCATAATTAAGACATTAAGCGTATTTTTTGTTCATGCAAATGCCACTTAATCCAAGTATTATTGTTGGTCCTGCTTCTTTAAATATCAACATTAAAGGGAAGAAAAAAAAAAGGAAGAAGATGATAGCTACATTCTAACTTCCAAGTTTGACTCTCCACCAAAAGATGGGAAACTTCAATTGATATGAAGGGAAAAGAAGATTCTCCAATTGTAAACTAGATGAATCATCTTGATTGGAATGAAGTCATTAGGCGATTGAGTAAAACATGGTAAGAATTCAACTAGTTTCTAATTATCATTATTGTAGTTATGGCATCACATCCAACAAATCTTTATCTAATTTTAAACATTTTTAATGTTTGCTTTTGTGCTAAACAACAACGATAAGTCAAATTGGAAGTAATTATTTGCCTGGTTGTATAATTTGGAAATCGAAAAAGGAAAGATTAAAAGCTAAGCCCACACAGTTAGGGTCCAAGGTCCAATATTTTTTAAGGCAAGTTCTAAGGTACTATCATTATTTGAAGATATTCTTTATTACTTGTATTAATTATATTTAAATATTCGTATAACATATATTTATGTAATTATCTGACATGATTTTATTTTTAACTAACTATAGTACTTATATTTTGTACGGTTAATTTAAATTTTTTATATATAAATATTTAAAAAATAAAAACATAAAATAAATTTATAATAATTTAAATAAAATATCAAGAAATTGTAAAGAATATAAAAACAGGAATAAAGTAGTGTTTAACCAAACAAGACAGAAGTTAGATAATATAATTTGGATAAATCATAAAAATAACATTTTAATATTTTGAAAAACATCAAGAAATATTAAACTTTTCATAAATTATTTAACGGATATAAATTCTTTTGTCAACTGGTATAAAATATTAGATAAATTATTTAAAAGATTTGTTATATAGATATTTCATTTAAACTAATTAATCATTATTTTATGAAAATAAAAATAATTCTTGCATGTTTATATAATATTTACTTATTTTATCATTTCTTTTAGCGTATATCTTAAATTATTTTTCAAGTTATCCATTTGTCTAAAAGTTTCTACTTTTTCTTTTTAAAATTTTCTATATCATTTTCCTGTATGTTAAAGCTTTTTATGTTTTTTACTCTCTTGGACTAATTTTTTAGTTAATCTTCTTTGATATTCACTTTTTCTTTATCTTCTTTCTTAGAGTTTTTGTGTTCTTGTTATTATTATTAAATGCTTGTTTTAAAATTTTAACTTCCCCCTTTATTTTTTTCTACAGTAAATTTTTATTTTTTTAATTTATTATTAATGAACCAATAAAAAATTAAAAAGGATGCATGTTAATCATAAAAAAATGTTGTGAAATTATTTCCTTATTTTAAATATAATCTTTATATTATTATTTTTTTTAGAGAAAAAAATTACAATCTTAAATATTGGACTTTCCTAATATCAGCCTAAAGTAATTTTAAATTTGTAGGTGGTGAGATCACAATCTTTAAAATCTACACATGTGTTACCTCACATATATAACTTTTATTGTGTGAATTAAAATAAATTAAAATCTTATATTATGAAACAAACTATATAAAATAAATTAGATCCTTCAAATATATTCTCATAATCACAAAAATATTATCATTTTCTTTCAACATTATTTTTTAATTAATTTTTAATGTATTTTAAATTGCTTTATCATTTTCTTTTAAAAATATATATAGAAATAAAAGTATGACAAAATTCTGTCCTTATTTTCATTTTATTTTATTGCATTTATTTGGAAATGACATGGGCGTGAAAAAAACTGAATATAAAAGAAGTTGAAGTGAATTTAAGGAAGAGGAGCACAGAGTCACAAATTTTATTGAGAGAGAGAGAGCAAAAATAGTTGGGTCAGTTCAAGAAAGATGGTAGGGTTTATATTCGAAAGATTGGGCTTCTGTCATTGGACCACTAAAAATAAAATGGTTTGATATGAGAATTTTTTTTTTTTTTTTGCTTAACTGGATCACGAGTTTATAACCCCTTATTTTTTGTTGTTTCCTTTCTTTAGTTTCTAGGTTGAAATACTAGACTTACATAATTTCAGCTTTTCTTTTCTTACTTAAATAGTTTGTAAATAAGTTGACAAAAAAAGTAATTTATAAAATAATAATAAATTAAAATATATTATTATTATTATTATGTTGATATTGTCATTATGTGTTGTTTATATCTTATTTTGATTTTATTTTTTTATATTGTTACTGTTGTGGTTATTATTGTTACATGTTATGCAATTATTATCTGTTTTCTATTTTCATGAAGTTACAATTTAATTTCATTTAAAAAAATGTTAATTTAGGTAAGACAATTTAACTTTTAACAAGGTTTAAGACTAATTTTTGTTTACAGTTCGTGGTTCTTGCTAGTCCAGAAAGTTTTGCACATGATAGCTAAACACATTATTTTTGGTTCAACAGATTAACCATAAACATATAAACGCAATGAGTGTTACACTACTCCACTAATCCTTTGAGGTGGCTTTTATCCTTTTTAATATGTTTTAAAGTATTTTACAATTAAATATTAAAAATAATATTTATTACATAAATGTATTTTTTTAAAGATAAATAGAATATAATACAATTTGACAGTGATTATTAATTTTATTTTAATATCATATTAATCATATTAAATATCATAGATAGAATTGAGAATGAGCGTGGAGGACAAAAGATTATGAAAATCAATTACTTATTAATTTTTTTAAGGAGATAAGTATAATCATTATTATTAATCGGTGGGAGAAAGAGATTTTAGAGACGTGAGAGAATACAATAAATGAGAAAGAAAGATGCACAGGTGCAAGATTTCAATAGACAAATCAAAATAAGATTATGTCAACAATCCAAAACACTTTCTTGTTAATTTATTTTAAATCATTGAATAAACTTACCCTATTAAGCATAGAAAAATTGAATTTAATATTATAATATTTTTATATTAGAGATAATTAAGGATTCTCAAAATTTTAAAAATAATAATAATAATAATAATAAACACCCTTGTACACTATCCCTCAATTACAATCTAAATATTAGAGAGAAGATACAATCCAAAAATTTATATCATGATTAATAGTACTCCATGTAAAATATACATGATAGTTGCTTAAATTGATTCTGCAATACTCCTTCTCTTTCAAAGCTTCATCCCTGTTACCACGACAGCTGCTACACGTATAATGGGTAGCCTTTGTTCATGTTTCAAGAGAAAGAATCCTGAGGAAGAAACTGTTCAACTTTCGGAGATTGCCAATGAAAATCTTACCTTTGCCATTTCTGTAACGTTCTCTCCCTCTTTCAATTTCATTTAAATGTCTATTTATTTATTTCTTTTTTCTTATTGATTTATTAATGTGACTTCATCTCAAACACTGGGATTTTGGTTGGGTAGCTTCCAACAATTCTTATTTGTTTTTAAAGTTATTCTAAAATGCTTTTTGTTCTGTGGTTGTGTTTTTTTCGTCTTCTTTGAAAACAAAGAAAAGGATAAAAAGAATAGGGTAATAATGAGTTAGGGTGAATACGTGATGAGTTTAATTTTGTCTTTGTTTGATTCCAAAAATTTATAGGATTTCCTTTTTAAGATTTCAACTCGACCAATCAAGATATGATAATATTGGCACAAAACTAGGTTAATCTAACTCGTAATTATAAACATAATATATCAATCTTAATATAATGTAAATTATAAAATTAATAAAAAATAAAACAAAAATTAAAGTATATTTTAATATATTTTAAAACAAATTAATAATATAGATATGTTATTATGATATATAATGTTATCTATTAAACTTTAAAGCGTAGTTACAAATACATAATTACTCAAATAAAATATTTTTTAATAAATAACATTAAAAAATTAGAACAATTCCAACTATAATTCAAATTTATGTTTCAAATACATTAAGTTTAACTTTAAAAAGTTAAATATATCAAAACTAACATCAAATTGTAGTGAATTAATTAAATAAGTCGAATTTTATGCATTCCTCAGAAGAATGAGAGAAGTTTAAGGGTTTGATTTAAGAGTTTGAAAGAGAAGAAAACAAAAGTTTGAAAGGAAAAGAGAAGAGAAGAGGAAGGTTAGTACAAAATGCTTCAAATTAAAAAAATTTAAAAACAAAAAATTAGTAAGATTTTGAATGTTTTATAAATTATTTTTGTTTCTTTTAAAAACTTTTAAATAAAGATAACTACTTTGAAAGTTTTTCTTTTACTTTTTTTCTCTTCAAAAACTAACTTATAAACAAAGTCAAAAAGAAAGTGTATAAAAAAAAGTAATAAAAGAGATAAAAAAAAATAAAGACTGAGTAAATATATTTAAAATTATATTAATCTTATTTAAGATATACATTCAACGGAGATACTTATCAATTTTACATTTTTCTTTAAGATTTGAAGCCCAATGTTCAGTTACATGTTAAAATTCTTGATTAATTGTTTTGTGTTATTCTCACAGAACACATCAAATAAGGCTGAAAATTCTCCAGTAGCTGTGGCCAGTGGTGAAGCTGAATCATCAAATTCCAATATAAATCGTTTGGATTCAGGCACTTCTAAAACCTCGCAAGACAACGTCTGTCCGACATGTTTCGAAGGTGATTTGAAATTATACAATTCAACTTCTTATTAATCTGTATGCAATCTTTGTTAAAAATAGTGACCAAAAACCTGTTTTTTGTTTCCATGACAGAATATAGTGACCAAAATCCTAAGATTGTAACAAAGTGCAATCACCATTACCACCTTAGCTGTATATGTGACTGGAGGAAGAGAAGTAGAACTTGTCCAGCTTGTAGACAGGTACGCAATATATAAATTAACTTCCATGTTCAATATACCATTAACCAAAAAAAATGTCTATTTATTTTGGGTTTTTGATTGACTTTGCAGGAGTTGGTTTTTGATGGAACGAAATAAAACTCTGGTTCGAAGAAAGCTAAAGTTCAGTACCGCATGTAAAATTCTAGCAACATTGTTAACATTGAATCAAAATGTGATTCACTGCTGGCAAATTTTTTTAGGACTTGTTTGCTTTTAAGTTAGGAAATTTGTTCTCATATTCTTCAATGCAAAATACAAGTTTCAATTAATTAATTATATATATACGATTCTCAATTACATTTAATAATTTAAAATCAATTTTATTTCAATGTCCTTGACGTTTTTTCTTTTTGGTTTTTATTATTACTCTCTCTTTTTTTATCATGTTTATCATTTTATGATTGCATTGCACCCATGGTATTATCTTATTACCTTAATTACAATCATGTTGATACCAATTAATCAAGTTAACCGTTTGATTTTTTAAATATTCTTATTAAATAGATAACTTTACAAATATAGGTAAATATAACGTTTTATATAATATAGTTACAAATTTTTAAATCATATAAAATTGAAGATACATAATATCATAAAGATAATTAAATAATTAAAGTATTTAATAATATTTTATTAAGCAGTATAACTATTTAAATTTGTGATACGATATCAAATTTTTTTGACATATATATATATATATGGTGAATAACATGTTAAATCAAAACTATTTAAAAAAAACAGAAATTGTGAAGAAAGAATTTATTGTTTTCAGAATTTTCTTTAATCAATGTTTCATTCACTCTACTTTTAATAAAATTGAATTTGATAAAATTTCTTTTCGGCTCATTTTCTCTGTTTCTCACTATCCAAGCACAGCAAAAAGGAACATGTACATACAAAGGCGTTCAGGGCTTTGAACATTTGAATATCTTACAAACCACAGAGAACGAGACAGCTATAGTGTCATAGGAGAAGTAGGAGTTCAGCAAAAGTTAACAAGAATGTATATAATCATTAGTACTATATATAGAGTCCTAGGCTATAAAATAGTTAAGTGTTTGTTCGAAAATACCTTTTTTCACATTTCTAACTTTAGGTGGGGAAGTAGTCAATATTTTTTTTTTAAATAGAATTTTTAGATTTGATTTTCAATTTCATGATTTTTTTTTAATCATACAAGAAATATTATCTTAGGTTTTTTTTAAACTAGAATTATGTCATTCAAAAACATGCTCTTATTATTTTTATATAAAACATTTATCTTGATTATAATTTCCTTAGAGCTCGTTTAAATCTTATATATATGTATTAGGTTAATATTATTGTATTTTGGATCTGATTATATTTGAATGTGTAAAGAGGCCATTAGTTAGGGTGTACAAATTCAGGGTATTTTGATTATTTTAATTGTAGTTTTATATAAAATTTGATATTAGAGGGAAGAAAACGTTTTTGAAAAAAACTCAAAATATACCATTTAAATTACCCAAAATACAACTCTTAAGAAAAAAGAAGAAGCATATACTGTTTATGGAGATATTAGCTAAAATTGATCTACAATTAATGATTAAACCTCAAGTCATCCATCTAGAAGAGTAATATATATTGTTATTTAAAATAATATTGTTTTATTTTATCGCAAAAATAAATAACATGGGGTGTTATTCATCATATTATTTTGTAACTCCTTTGTTGAGCTACTTATTTTTAATGATATGTAAAATGATTTTGTAATTTTGTTATGAACTTTTTTGTGAATTGTAAGGATTATTCATTAATGTGTGTATGTGCAATTTTTTAAATTATTTTTTATTTTTCTCTTTTAAAAATAAAGTTGTATCATTTAAAAATATTGATGGTCACATCACGTGGATGCATAACTTATCACATTATAAATGTTTGTCCGACAAATTTGATAAATGTTAATGAAAAGTACTAAAATAATTGAATTCTAATAAATTTTGAAATTAATTTTTCATTCCATAAATTAAATATTAAATTAATAGATGTCTATATATATTTTAGTTTATTATGATCCATTTTTGATATAATAATTTTAAGAATATTATTTTTCATCATTTATGGACTAAATTGACTAATAGTGCTTAAAATGTTGATTGTGTAAGTTACGTGTTTTATTTAAAAAAAAAAAAAACATTACTCTCTCACTTTATTAAAAAAATTATTTATTTTTTATTATTATGTTGTACTAAAGTAAATTAGAGTAAAATGTATTTTATAAAATAAATACTAGTAATAATTTGAAATTTTACTAGAATTAATTGCCATTTTTGTCTTTTTGAAGCTTTATGTCTATTGTCTGGTGGCATAGAGAGCCTGTAGATCATTTAGATCCCTGCATCACCTATTCCCATAAAGAACATCCCACGGAAAAGGTTGAATTAAAAGCTGCTAAAAACACAAATAAAAATCATCTTAAGTCAAATAAAAGTTTTGAGGTAACAACAGAAGGACGCGTATAAAGGTTTGAACATACCATTATATTTCCAAACCAAGATGTTGTCATCACCAAGCGGCATCACTAACTTACGTAAACAAAACAAGATACAGATATGTACGTAGCTGTAATGGTTTCTTATAATTTAGAAGTTTTATTGAGTTCCTATAATTATAAATCCAAACTCAGTTTCTTACAAGCAAAATTTATTAATATACTAAAAGGGGTTCGAAATTATTTCATGTCATTTGTCTACATTACGGTTTTGGCCCTTTCAAGAGGGACCGATTCAAAGTGGGTTTGAAACAATAAAGACCCAATACCAAACATTTAAAGTATAGATATTAAAGCTAAAATATGAAGCAAAAAATATCATAAGAACTAATTAAAATGTATTTCAACCTTTCATATTTATGTCTTAAGTATCGAAACCATGTAACATATTACACATAGATACACAATTAGACTTAAAATTCGACATGTTTACAACAAAAGCAATTCAAAATGAAGTCTTCACCACAGTAGGGAAAACCAGGAGCCAAATATAAAATATAAAACATTTAAACACGACTACTTATAGTTGTTCATATATACCAGTAATTATATAATATCTAATATCATCCACATAAAAGGAGAGAACTTTTTAAAAGCACCCTAGGTGGCAAGAATACAGTGGTTCCAGGGTCAGGTCAAGCTCGTTCCTTCCTAGTTCTGGTGCTTCTTGGTGGTAATTGCCTCTGCAGAAACAAAATTACACAGGGTAAGTGCTAGAGTTACCTTATTGAGACTTACCAAAGAAGAATTGGAAGGAGGGGAAAGGAATTTGCTTGCTAGAGGATGAGCAAATGAAGATATGAAATACCTCCAAATAAATAAATGAACATGTGAAATTACAATATCATATCATATATAGAAAAGTTACCCTTACCCTATGTTCAAACTGGGAACAGGTTGCTGTGGTAAGAAAGATGTGTCAACCCTGTAGTTTGGCTGCTCCCACTGAGCTGCGTGCTGTGCTACAGCCTGCTCTTTCTCCTTGATCTAATTCATATCATAAATATTGTTAAGAGCCATACACACACATATGGCTATTTCACAAAATATATATGGCTAAACTACATTCATAGAACTCGCATTCCATAACTTCACTAACAATCACCTCCATTGATTTAAAAAGAATCTATTCAAAATATTAAAAAAAAAAAAAAAAGAGGCCATAAAAATAATTTTGTATTAGTTTCACAAGAGGTATATATAGCAGATGTGTCAAATTAATGAGAGAAGTTCTAAACCGAGAGTGAGAAGAACATATGCTAATTATTAAATCTAATCATGAACAAATTAAAACATCGGTGACAATATTTAGTTTTAATTTTGATCATTGTATAGTTATATAGTCAAAATTTATCGTTTTACCTCTCAAATTAAAATTGTTCTCACACTAGATGTCACAAACGCACACACGCGAGAGATTACTCAAACAAAAATACGTAGTTATTATGAAAAATGAGAATAATAAATAATCTAAAATATAATGGACATGACATTTGTAAATAGTCATGGAATTACTCATTACCTTTTAGTTTTAATCATTTTTGTATAATTGGATAGTATAATTTTTATGGTTCTTAATTATTTTCACTGATACATCTCATCTCATCTGATATATAATGTGTCAAACTTAAACACTTACATTATTTAATAACATTCTATGCAATGTGAGATTAACTAATCTAATCATTACTTTATAAATTTTTATCAAGTAGATCAATTTTATAAAATTTCATGCAAACAAAATCAATATATTTTTCCTCACATTACTTTGTTTTAATATGTAATATATTTTTAAAATATAAATAAATATTATATTTAGAATAACATACTGACAAGTATTTAAAAAATATATAATTTAATATTTATAAAAATAATATAATATGATTTAATAATTAAATTAGTTAATTTAATCATTAAGTAATAAAAGTATTAAGTTTGGCATCTAATATTAATATATTTTGACTCTATATTTCTCTATGTATCATAGTTAATTCTAATATCAAAACTTTTAAAATTAGGTTTTAAATTTTTACTATTTAAATGAGACCATCAATATGGTTTTGTGGTAATATAAAAAAGAAATAATAAGAATTGAATGGTGCAATTAGGGCTAAATCAGGTAATTTAAATGTACAAACATCCGCAATTATTCTATTAAATATTGCAAAGTGTATGTAATAGTAAAACCATGAAAATAGAATCGTAATTTCCTATACATTGAATAGGAGAAATATATAATTTAGTCAAAAAATGAATTGTTTTAATTTGTTAGTTTCAGAGAAAGGTGTATGTACTAACATCCGCAGTTATTCTATTCAATATAATGAAAGTAAATTGTAATAAATCCTATACACTGAATTGGACAAAATATAATTTAGTCAAATAAAATAATTGTTGATGTTAGTTTCAGAGAAAGGTATAAAAAAAAAGGACATAATTTGGCTACTAAGCAACTCAAGCCCATACGTGTTAGTCAAAGTCCAAGTAATAGGTTAAATATTAAATACAACAAGCAAAAGGGAGGAGCAGGGATCATAAGTATAATCAAACCATGTCACACTTATAATAGTGCCAACAAGCATTGAACTGGATTAAGCATTGATTGTGGTAAAATGAAGTTCAGTTAGGCTAAAGTAAATAAATAATTTGTAAAGGTAGATCTTGCTCACCTTCTTTGCGAGCATGTTATTCTGCTCTTGTATCACTTTCTCCTGTCATACATAACGAGAACAATGAGAGCACAAATCTCTACAATAGTTTCATCATCTGGAGAGATACACTTAATCATTTTGTGTTTAATGACACTAGAATGTAATTGATATGGGTTTAGTTTAAATAATTTCTGAATAAGTGCTTCTAAGAATTAAAAGTTAAATAATAATATAAATTAGAATTTTCTTATAAATTAAAATTAATTTATTTTTTTTTTATTTTTTTTTCAAATTTTCTCATTTAACTTTATTAAACTGAAGGTGTATAAATTACTTTTAACTTATATAAAAGTTTTATTATTTATTATATATTATATTAATTTTTTTCATATTAAAACATATCCAGAAACTTATATAATATTTCACTTTCAGGACAGTAAGCTAGGGAATAAAGCCAAGGTAAATTAAAGTTGGGTTTAAAAGATATACCTTTTTCTGAAGGTCAGAGATGGACTCGTACATGAGATCGTTCTGTTAAAACACATTTCTTACGATCATCAGAGCCATGCAGAATATATGTAAAACAATTATATACATACATACATACACACACACATATATATATATATATATATAATATTGTGTTTTAGAAAAAATATATTAACAAATTATTATTATAATTTTCCTAAAATACATTTAAAATATGCTTTAGTAGTCAACATGCTTTTATTTAAAAAAAGAAGAGAGAGTTCATTTAATTAGCTATTGTATGAAACAAACAACTCCATCTTAAATGGACTAACAAAATTTAAGACATTATACCAGAAATGTATCATTGTTTACATAAATAAAATCTCATCAATCTACTTAAATAGAGTTATTTATCTCATGAGATAACTTAGGCAAATCTATTTAAAAGTTTTAACTTTATTTTCTAAAGTACTCCTAAATAACAGGTAACTGTTACGTTAGCAATTTGCGAGCAAGTGAAGCATAATCGGTTATATATGTTGTATATTGTATGTACCCTGCGTGTACGGATGTTCTTGAGAGCGGTATCTAACTGTTGCTCCAGACTTTGAAGCTCTTTGAGGCTCATTGAAGCCAAATCTTCTCCCATATAGTGCCTGAAAAAGGGTCCAGAATGTACTAATAACTCAGTTACATTGTGACACGTGAGCGAATAATCCAATCAAACAATAATGGGAAATGAAAGCATGCATTAGATGTATAGGCCATAATCAATAGCATCTACCTGTGGTTTCTCTGCAAAAGGTCAACCTTTGCTTTGAGTCTAGTATATTCAATTGTCCAGTTTCCCTGCACAAAATATATTCATACTTTCAGTTACTTATCTCTCTCCATATATATAGGATAGCCCACTGCTCATATGTTTTTTTTTTAACATGTGTTGAAAGTATTTAATAAACATTTAAATATTATAATTTTTTTTTAATTGCAAATGAGAAGATATTACAAAATGTAATGCCTTAATAATATCAACTACTACAAATTTCAGTAAAACTTACTGTTTATTAACTTTTTAACTTGTGTCTTAAGCGCATGTTAAGAAAAACATTTTATTATATTTTTATTTTAAAAGTTTGTTGCATCACTTTTACGTCATTAATTTCGATCCGTATGCATAGCTTAATTTATTTAATTCTTACAACATAGACCCAGCTGCGTATCTCTTTGTATAAGTATTAATTGCCATTGAAGCTCTTCGATGTAAAATAGAGATGCATGCACATTAGAAATTATATAACTGTATTTGAATGAATGTATATTTGATGACAAACCTGTGTCTCAGAATCATTTCCTACCAGTTGTCTCTCTGCATAGGCATACCTTTCATGGCGTTCCAGTATCTTCTCCATGCTGTTCAATGATTAAGTATTAAAAACTATAATAAATGAAGACTAGAGTTGTCAATCAACCATTATTATCTTGTAAGGATATAAATTTATTCTACATTACATATTACTATTTTGAAACAAATAACAATATATATCTATGTGGGATAAGGTTGTTGTTGTTTGTTACTGATCGTATATATGAAATTGTTATCAATAAAGTCAATACTAAATATACTGTTTGATAAGTTTTCTGAATTATGAAAGACATATTTGACTAAATTTTAATCTTGATGAAGTTAAAAATTTCTGTTATTCAACAGTAAAACTATCATATAAATTATATATGTAATATTGAACAACCTTTAATAATTTCATAAAAATCTATGAAAATAACGAATTTTCTTCAATTTAACTGCTAGCATGATTTATTATGTAGGAGCTAGATGCACCCATCGGCAACAATGGAACAAATACAAGTCAAAATAATTCAACAAAAAGTAACCCCTTAATTAGTGGATATCAAGATCAAATTTTGCTGCTTTTATTTTTTGATAAATTTTAATAAAAAAGCAGGTAACATTCCTGCTTCCATGCATAAATGGACTCGGGCTTGAAAAGGAACATGTCATCTTTGATAAACCTTGGCAAAAGCAACTGCACAAGTACACAGTTTAAGATCGGAAAAAGACCAAATCATAGCAGATTAAAAAACCAAACAAAACAAGAAGAAACGAAGATAGGAAGGTGTAGAGTTTAAACAAAAGGGCTAGCATGTCTTGCTTGAGGTGCTGAACCGAAAGGACTTGAAATAGAAAACAGAACAAGACAAATATGAAGTAAGAAAAGACTGTCACAACTCATAACCCTTCACAGTTTGCAAGAGTGTCACAACCGCTTCTAACAAAAGGAGAAAAAGGGACTCTAACATGATCAGTGGCTACCCTATGATTTTCTAACAAGGACAGGCGGAATCTCTCTTTCTGATGAGTGAAAAATACGCACACAAAAGAGTATACGTGCATTTAATTGTAGCAATATATAAATCCTTTGCACATATTGTACCAAAATTGAAAACAAACGTTTTTATTTTCTTATGATAAAAAAAGTGTGTTGATTGATCTTCAAACGCTACAATATTTCTCTTCATTTCTAAAAAAATCGATCGGTTGACTTTAAGTGCGTACAATATCATTATATACATAAATAATAAAACCTGATGTGAACAAAAACATTAGAGTTAGAAGATGAAAAGAGAGGAACAGTAAATTATTTGTTTTCCAACCCAACCACAAAAACACAACCAAAACCCTTCTCATGAGCAAAAGCAGCAACGGAAACCTTTTTTTTTTTTTTTATAAATAAAACAGTGATTACATAACTCTAGACCCATTCTATTTATATTTATATCACTTGAACAACATATTTAATATATATATATATATATATGGTATATTTGCATTACCATGAATCAGTGGCATACTCAAAGAGCTTTCCTTTGTGGGAGAAGACAATCAAACCGACCTCAGCATCACAGAGCACAGAGATCTCATGAGCTTTCTTGAGTAACCCAGTTCTCCTTTTGGAGAAAGTTACCTGACGATTGATCTTGTTCTCTATCCTCTTCAGCTGTACCCTACCCCTTCCCATCTTTGTTTTTCTTTTTCTTTAATATTATTTCTTGGCCAATTTGGTTTTTTTTTTTTTCACCCAAGAAAACCCCAATTCCCAAACAAGGAAAAAGGAACAAAATTACCCAAGAAACAAGGTTGAAAGGCTGGCATATATGGCGAAGCGAGCGTGGGAATGTTAGTTCATGGATCTTTCTTCTTCTGGACAAGTATAGAGTTGTGTCATGGGAAAGCACAGTGAGTGCAAGTATGCTATATTGCTATATTATGTCTATAAAAAGGTGAAAATGGAAGTGGTGAAAAATAATGTCTGAGATTGGGGTTTGATGACAAGTGGTTTTCGGTTTCTGGTTTAGGAAAGCTGAAGCAGTTTAGTTTATGATGCGTTGTCGAAGACTTATTGGACGGATACTGTACTGTGTCCATATTTGTCGCATAACTCTTTATGGCCACACAGTGATGATGATATTTTTATGAAACCAATTGCAAATAACACATTTTTAATATATTCTTATTGTTGATTTAAATTTGATGAAAATGATAGAATTATATATTTTTATTTTATTTTAATTACTTTCACTTAATTGATATAAAAAATGTGTTAAAAATATTTTTAAAATATATTGCTAGCACTCTGTTTTTGGAATTGTTTCAAATTATGTTTAATGATCCATCATAAAAATTAATAAATAATTTATTTTAAAAATTTATAATATTTAATAACAAAAGTTTATTAAATTTTATAATCTAATAAAAAAAGTATTATACAGGAATTTTTATTATCTATTTAAAAAAATGTATTTTTTTAATAATGGTGGGACCCGTTAAGGGCTTTTGGAACATGTATGGCTGGCTCCCTAATGAGGTATAGGGAGTAGGAGGAATAGCATATATGAAATGGTTGAAATTGAACACTCTCCACCACCCTCCTCAAATGTTACCGTGTGTCTTTAAGCAGCTGAGCTACCCTAATGAATTAGCTGGTGCTTCTCAGAACAACGATACATGTACAAACCAATAATTTTGTTCACAAATACACAAATAAAATTCATGGACAAGATGATGAGAAAGAAAGAAAAAAGAACAAATTATTGTAATGAAATTAAATATTTATAACATCGATCTGTGTAATGAAATTAAATATTTATAACATCGATCTGTGATATTTTTGTGTACGTAAGCATCCTTGCCCTATTTCTTGTTGATTGTCAAGCATATGCAAATAAAAATCTGAAAACTACTTTATTTTTTGCCCAAAAAAAAAAAAAAAGCTAATGTAAACATCGTTGCTGCAGTACAGTTCACAGCATTACTCCTGCAAACTTCTATTCATGGTGTCATAACCTATCAATATTAAGAAATTGACTCTTTAAAATGAAGGAAATCTATCATTGACTAAAAAAATATTTATAATATTAAGGCTTTAGTAAGAGTCAAATTCTAGTATATTAATATGATAGGCGATGCTCGCATAAATTTAGTGCAATTCAATTGAACATATTGTGTTAATAATATCATTAATTAATTAGATTAACTAATAAGTATCTCAAGAATATACAAGTATTTGAAAATACAACAAAATAAATAAAATTGGAAAAATGTTTAAGAAAAATTAGTTTAATTGATAAATTTTGTTTGAATTATAATAAAAATATAATTTAACCTATGGTTGTTCATTATAAAGAATCCGCAAACTTCTTTTACAGTTAATTATATATTTTGTTGTCCGTCTACAACTTATATTTAATTTTACTCAACGATAATATAAAAAATTATTAGGTCCCTCCCTTAATATGTTTTTATATTACTACCGAAATATCAATAGTCTACAAAGTTGTATAAGTATATTTATTTAAACTGAATAAATACTGAATGAAGTATCGTGATGACATGAATTCACTTATTGATGATATGACAATGACAAATATTTAAATGTGTCACATCGTTTATAAACACAAAATAACTATTAAAATGACATTTTTTTATATAAACATGCCCCGCTAATTCTTAATGATAGTACGAATTAATTTTAAAAAAAATAAAAAATGTTGACTAATACTTTTAGAGCACTTTTTAAACATTAAAATATTTTGTTAAAAAAAATATAAAAATGCACTCAACTTATATAAATTAATGTATCATATGTTTTCTAATAAAAGAAATACTTTTTAATTTTATTAACCAATACCCACAAGGTACCGATTAGCAACACAACCCTTTTAAAATTTATGATCGTTAAAGTTAATAAAAAAATATAAGAATAAAATTGAATTTAATTGTATTTAAAAGAACAGGCAATGAGCTTAAATTTTTTTAAAAAGATTGACGTTCAATTGGATGCATGACTAACTCAGCACGCACGACCTTGCAAGATTGAGCACAGGCAAACCTTTCATCAGAAATGTGCACTATTATGCAACTCAACATGTTCAATCGTGCTTAATATGTTGCACAATTTTATTGAGCAAGAAATGCGCATTTGAAAGTATAGTGACATAATAATTACCTATCTTATAGGATTTGAGGTAGCTTTTGACAGCCTTATTCCCTCCCTCTATCTTTGGGAGCTGCTATAGTAAAGGAGGCTGTTCCGAAATTGTTGCTGGCTAATTTTATTCCCAAAGTTTTCAAGTGGGTGCAAGCAATCAAGGATTCGACATTTTCCTTCAAGCTTCAAGATCTATCTAACAAAAATGGATTTCTCTTTATGATTTGTTTTCTCACTTTTCTTCTTCGATTTTGTTTGGGATTTAAACTTATCTGATATTATGAATAGCATTCTCTAATCATGCCTTCTCATCTCAAGTGTGGAGATGTATTTGGGCTGTTTGGATTTGAGTACTGTTATCCCTCCTAAAGATTGTTTGAGTTTTCTTACACAGTTCTTGAAAGATAAAAGATGGAATCAGTACTGATAATGATTTGGTGACTTTAGTTACGTAAAAATTATTTGATTTTTTAATAACAGATTAGAACTTCTTTAATCGGTAAAATACACCTTTCTTAGTAATTTTACGCGTTATATATCATGAACTTAAGAAAAGTCTGCAACCTTCTTTTACAGATATGCTATGATAGATTACAATTTCTTAGCGGTTATATAATCAAACGCCTAAGAAATTAGACCTAAAACACTTATATTTGAGATACTTATTTTTAATAATTTTATCAACAAATTAGCAAGCAGATAAGGCTTGTTTTGATGAAAAAATTAAAAATTTTAAAATTTATCATTTGAATTCTTTGATTTTAAAAAAATTTATTTAGATTGAATGGTTAATTTATTTCACTTAAATTTTTTTATTTGGATATAATAATTAAAATTTTTTATTATCAACTTTATTTATCATCATATCCAACTGTAAGCGTGTAAACATGAAAGAAATAATTGAATTGAAAATAAACAAATTAGAAGAGAGAAAGAGAATGAAAATATTGATATAGAGAAGGATAAATGGTTAAGAGAATGAAAATATTCATAAAATTCTCTCTTTTAATAGAATTTATAATTCTTCAATTTTAGTTTATTAAAATTCTTAAAAATTTAAATTTTTTAAAATCAAATATTCAAACAAAGCATTTTAACACACCAAATTTTACTTAATAATTTATTTGGATAAAAAATAAAAATATATATGAATTAAAAAGTAGAGTAACTGAATAAATAAAAAGAAGAGAAAAAAAATACTCTTTGTTTTTTAAAATGAGTAAAAAAGAAAATAGAATGAAAGAGATATATTACATAACTTTTTTGTTGATTGAAAAATGAAATTTAAACTTTTTTGCTATTAAATTAAATTTAAATTTAAAACATCTGAGTGTTTTATTATATTATTTTTTCATAGTATAAATCATTTATTCTTTTATACTTTTTATGTTACAAAAATTAATTTTACTTTTAAAGAAATAAAAACGAAAGAAAGAATATAAAGGCTTTCTTTCCCTCCTCCTTTTACATTTCATGCCAAGTTGGAGGGGTTATGTTTTGTAAGTAGCCCACTAAAATTTATACATTCAACATTGCTGTTTTATCAAATGATGTAAATGGTGCTTATCCACCTCATTTCAATCCATTCCTTTTCTCTAATTCCTTAAATCATCATAAACAAACACAATATTATTATTAATATTATTATTATTAAAATGGATAACTAAAATCATAACTAAGACTACGAAAGATCTCATAATGTGATCTGGTGATATAGTTTTCAGTTCATGTGTACCTTTCGAATTTATTCTATCAATTTGTTTAGATTATCAATAATTGATCAATCTTAACAATGTCCTAATTAATCGTGCGATTGGTAATTATATCGCACTTTATTGGTTGATATATAGGATAAATTGGGTTAGGGGTTTATTGGATCAACCTTGTCCTTTAAAAGATATGGGAGTACGCGGGACCGCATATATATAAAATTAATCTCATACTAATTTCTATAAATTTTATCACTTGATTAATTTTTTAATGATATAAAGCATCACAACACTGATCTTAAGATGGACAAAAGTAATGAAAAAAAATGCTTAATTTGGTGATAATCTATTTTAGGAGAAATGTTTAAAATATTGTCATTGTAAAGAACTAAAGTAGTTAAAAAATATTTAAGAAAATAGTTTGAAGATAAATTAAATTTTTGAAGAATTAATGTAGTACCAAAATTTTTAAAAGATGAAAGTAGAGGTAAAAGAATCCTTCAAAAAACAAAATATAATGAGCAAGTGATAAAATAAATTTAATTGTAAATTTGAATCTCCAGTATTAATTGAGATGAGAAAAGGTAACCTTGAAAGTGACAAGAAAAATTCAGCTTGGGGCATATCTCTTTAGTCAAAATATGCGAGTTTCAAGTCCTTTAGCGTAGAGGCGACAACCTTTTGAGTGGGAAAAGAGTCTTGTTGATGCATTATTATTGGTTCCTGTTGGTAAAAGTGTTCAGCTTATATGATTATTTTCTTTAGTTAGAGGTCCAACCCATGAAAGATAAAAATGTTGTCAATATGTGGGAGTCAAAGACACTTATCAAGTCTCTAGTGCTTGCGTGGAGGGAATTTCGGAGTTGTGAACCAACCAAAGATAAAATCAGAATTAGTGAATCATTATTTTTTTTAATACAAAATTGCCTATGAAATATGGAAAAAAGTTGTATTGAATGGATTGGGAGTACATCTAATGATCCCAAAATGCATTTTCTTTCCTTTCTTGATACCTGCAATATTGTGGTAAAAGTGTTACAAAATTTCTGATCCTAAATATGGATAGCTTTGGTGTGGACTAAACAGACAACTAAACACTAGAAAATTTTTCAAAATGAATGGTTTGACGTTTAACAAGTTATGAATCTTATGAAGGTTGAAGCATAGTTATGGGAGAAGGAAACATGTGAGGTTGGTTATGCCTTACTACGCGTGGGAATTTAACTTGAGGAGTCTTCCTTTGTCATGGTCAAAATCAAATTTAACTTCAAAAAATGATGAACACAGACTGATTCATTTATTCAATATCAACTTTCAATCGAAATTCCTTGATTCTAATCTATTAAAATCGCTAAATTCTTAATTTTAAATTCTCTAAAATTAAATATCCAAATAAAAAAGTAAATTAATCACTTAAAATATTTCATCCAAACACCCTAAAACAAAACTATACAGTTACTCAATAAAATACACATATCATTAAATATGAAAGAGCCACATATGGATCTAATTACACATGGTCATTAAGTATGAAAGAGTCCCATATGTATCAATTACAGATTGAAGGATGGATATAATTTAGAAATGTAGTGTTAATTATCAAATTCATCAAATAAATGTCTTATTGGAATATATAAACCGTAGCATAATATGTTTTATGCTGCATGACACCTATTATTACAGCCTCTTCTTATAGGCCCCAGGATCTCTCTACAAGAGAATCATTTTTGAGAACCATGAATTTTACTTAATTTGATATTCACTCCATCCATCCATGCATGAATTCACTAGCATTCTGAGTTGATGTTCCTGCAGCTCCTCCAGCTTCATTTAACACTGAAGTATCATAGCTGTAGAGTAAAATGAGGAATCAGCTTCTTGCAAATACATAACTTTACTTTACATTTTTTTCAGTAGGGAGAAGATCAGTACCCAATTCTCAATGTACTACTGCAATGTGCTGTCTCATAGTATCCCTCTGATTGGGGAGGGTGGCAATTGTAGGAAGCATTTTGCTCCCTAGCTTCCCATGTTGGTTGAAGGGTTACATTAATTTCCTCCAACTGTGAATTTGCACTTTAATTAAATGGGGTGGCATTGAACCAAAAATAAAATAAAATAAAATAATTGGGCCAATGAAAATACCTTTGTAAATAGGGGCAAAATACCAAAATTTAAGAGATGAAACTGAAAGCAATTAATAACGAAAAGATAGATGATATGCCATGATCTACAAATCTCTGCTGCCTGATCTACAAGTTTAACCTTTTGAAGTAGCTAACGATTTGTCATGATAGGTTCAATATTTGGAGACTAAAATGACGTTGATAAATGTTATCAATTTAAATTTTCTCAAGTATTTTAAAAATCATGTATGATTCAACTCTCCTAAATAAATTATGATGCACTTATGACGAGAACAGTATAATTTTGTAGTTCAAAATTAAATATTTTTTGTAATTCAGTGCAAGCTAGTTAAAACAATGTTAAAGAATGCAGGTTTTAAATATAACAATTATTAATTAATAAACAAGAGAACAATATAATTTTTTTTTAATCTTGTATTGAGGTTGGGGTGCTCCTATTAATAAACTTTTTTTTATCAAAACAAAAATTAATAAACAGGAGAACAGTATAATTGACAAAAGCTGAATTACGGAAACTCATAATCTGAAGAATGTAAAGATTTCATCTCTTACCAGAGTCATAACCCAGGGATGTTTACAATTATCAATTTGGTTTGACAATAATTAAACATTTTCAATTGACAATAATGCCTAGTGACATTTTCTACCGCAAAACAATCGCAATCAGTCACTTAATTACTGAATAATAAAGTTTGAAAACTTTTCAGCAATAAATAATTCCATTCACTTCTACTTTTAATAGCTTCTTCAGGAAAACAAAAATCAAAGAGAAGCTTCCACAAAGATTATTGACAAGGTCAGATTCAGCTATATACCCGCATCATATTTATTTTATAACAATTGAAAATTGTTTGTTTTCGTACCTTGTTCCTGAGCACATTATTAGTTTCCAGTAGCATCTCTTCCTGTGTGTCCATCAAAAACAGAGTTGGTGACCATCCAATAAGTAAATGAGATTAAAGGATGATCTAAAGGGTTTATAAACTAAGTTTTACCTTTCTTTGCAAATCGGAGAGTTGATCAAGCATCTGTTGTGTCTGGAGATAAGGAAATAGATAAATAAGTATCATAGTGATAATAACCTAGTGTATAATATTAAGATTACGATGTTAAGTACTTATAAAGTGCTTGAAATATTTCCTCTCAGCTTATTGATACAATTATTTGCTAAGTAACAAGTGATCTACAAATTTGATAATGCATGCATCAAATGTTCATGATGAAAATCCCTATCCATACTTTATTATATATATATATATATAAGAGAAATGAAGTAATTCTATATATTATTAAAAATTATGCTTAACTCACTTTTAAAGTTATCTTATAAAAAAAAAGTTTGTTCAAATCTTATAAAGCATATTCTATTTCTATTCTTAATTGATGTGAAATATATTATCATCTTTTCTCGTAAACAGAATTGGACATCCAGTGTATAAAATTTATAGTGAACTTCAAAACTATATTAGAAAATTAAATCTAATTTACCTTCAAAACTAATTAATGGAAAAAAATTTATTCAAGCAAGCTTTATAAAAAATATCATGACTATACAATTATAAATACTTGAAAATATTTAAGATTTGTTTAATTAATACCATAGAGATAACAATTTAGGACAAACATTTTTTATGGCAGACTTGAGCCTGTATATTTTTTAAGTTGGATTGGATTAATTAAGTTGATTTAAAATTTAGCACAACATAACCTATAGCAAACTGCAGTTTAAGCAAACTGGGTCACCTACCCTTTTTAAATTTAAAAGCAAAAAACTTCACTACCAAATCATTAATATGTATATAACATCTAAAAAAATAGTATGTTCCTATTATATTATAGCATCATTGTAATATTTTTATATTGAAATATTATATAATATATGTATCACTAAATAAAACGGGTAACAAATGTGTTCTATTTTTATATTTCATGTTAAGTATTATTTTTTGTAACGTGCAAATATGACTCAATATAAGAAGTTTAATTCACACACAAAGATTCAAAGAATTATAAAAAGTGAAATTTTTTAAAATAACTAAAAATCCTGGCCAGCTCGTATATGGAACAGCTAATTCTTGGATTATATATAGACAAATTATGATGACACGTGAATTTTTAAGAATGAACTCATAATATATTAGGTTATTCAAGTCCGCAAATATATATTTTTTTATCATTGAAGAAGAAAGGTGTCTCTTTTAAATTTGGAGAATATATATATATATATATATATATATATATATATATATATATATATAAAAGATAAAGATAATAATATATAATATTACTTTTTAATTATTCCAATATCATAACTGATTCAATTCTGTCCAGTTGGAACCTTTGGTTGCTAGATTAATATATATTTAGGGGCGATTTTTTTTTTCTATATAATGTGAGACCAAAATAATATTCTGCATATGAAAGAATACACTAATTGAGAAAAGTTTGAAGTTGATATTAAGAAATAGTGTTTACATCATTTTAGAATGAGGACGTTTACAAGTGTATTTGTTTAACAACTGAACTATAATTTTGTGATGCATATATTTAAAGAAGATAAAAATAATTACATACAGTATCACAGATAATAGTAACTTTAAATAATTTAAAAAACGGAATCAATTGATATTATAATTATTCATTTAATAAAACTTGGAGTTATGCATGGTCTGATACGGGTACGGAAGCTGTTAAACAGAACACATGCATCATAGACAAGTACAATAATTTCCATGATCCATGCATGAGTTGAAAATCTAGCCGACATAGATAAAGGCACCTATGATTAAAACATGACTAAGACTATCTTGACAACACGTGATCAGCCTTATAACATGAAAGATGTAAAAATAAGAAAAAGAACAAAATATATAAAATGAGCAATGTAATGAAGAAAAATAAAGAAGTGAAAATGACTCATTAAAATGTCTTGTACAAAAATTGAATGAAACAAATATTATTCTTAAAACATTGGTGACCATTGGTGTGTATGTACACATTTTGAGGGCTAAATCTACACGTACGGAACAGAAACCCTATTCCTCTTAACCATAGACAGAAGAAAATATTGTCTGTGTAAGGAGCTTTACCGCATATTTGTATACTAAAGAATCTTAGCTAGAATGAGATGTGTGTTTAACTCTGATTTTAATTTTATATGTATTCCATTATTTTCACTTGTTTTATACTTTTTTATTTGTTTTTCTTCCTTTTTTATCACATTTTATTACTTTTTTTTTCTCATCCTTCTGTGTCTATCTGTTCTGTCAAAGTTACCAAAACTAAGGGTAGATATTGAGCTCCTAAACTTGAAAGGGTGCAAAAACATGCTAGTATTGTCCCATGTTACGTAGCCTTTTTCAAGTCCTTTCTCATGTACATGGCAACCAAGTAAAAATAAATGCGCGAGCTTTTCATTAGAAAACCTTATCTTGTATGTAGTTCTTTCTAGCAAATGCAACTTCAAGTAAACTTAAGGGACATGGATGTTGGAACCCATTCAAGTAAACTAGGGCTTCCATACGTAGATGTTGTAATTTGCATGTACATGATGGGCACTCAAGATTTTTTCTTTTATCACATCTAGTCATTTTTTCCTTCTCATCAAGAATGATAATATAATATGAGTTTGTCTAAATTATTTGACGTGATAAATTTCCTCATATTAAATAGACTAATAAAGTTAAGATATTATATTGAAATTTGTATAGATTTTTTATAGACAGAATCTTATTAATTCACTTAAGATAGAGTTATTTATTCCATAAAATGACTTAAATAAATCCATATATACTCATACAACGGACAAAGCATGAATAAATTCTTAGGACATGACATGTTAGTTCATAACCCTAGCTCAGATGCCTAATTTGCATACCTTGTTAGACCTGATTTGCTTCAAGGAAGAGTCCAGTTGACGTTCAAGTTGCTCAAGCTCCTTAATATCTAAGTGCTCCAATTCTTCCCCAAGGAGGTTTCTACAGAGATAGGAATATAATATGTTTACACAATCAATATCTTCTATTTGTATCAATTAGCTTTGAAAACTTTATTTCCTCCTTTTAAATTTAGCACCAAAATTATTCTTTTATTTTCTTTTTAATCATAAGCCAAACAAAATAAATAACTATCAAAAGAGTATAAAGAGTACTCAACCCATATACAAACGGTTATAGCTGCATTATAGATGTTGTAAACAAAATAAAGTTTCTCCCACCCTCTCAGAATAGGAGAAATAAAAGTCCTTTATAAACTTATAAATAACGAAAGAATATTCTTTTGTTAATGTTAGTAAAAGCACAAATATTAATGTATAACATTTTCTCAGGCAAGACAAACCTTATTTGTTAAATATTTGAATAATTGAACTAGCATTCTACCTTTGTGTTTGCTGTAATGCCTCAACTTTGGATTTCAGCTTGAGATACTCTTGGTAGCGCCTCTGCACAATGGCATGGTGATGTATGTTACAAAGACATTAATGCGCTTCTTGGAATTAATAGCAGATAAATAAATCATATATGCGCTCAAAATAAAATTAAAATGAATGTATATACAAGAAGGCAACTGAAAAATTGAAGTTTGAAGAATGAACTTTTTCTTAATAAAACAAAATCAATGTAAAGCTATAGGAAATCTTGAAGATTTTAATTTATAAAAGGGATGTTTAGTTTTGATTTCCTATTTACTTTATGAGAAAAGTTAAATCAAGAGAATAAAAAAGGATATTCCAATCTTCATACATTGCAGTTTCAAAGCAATATTTAGTGTTTACACAAATATACATTGTAATGGACAGATACATCGATCTGTGGGGAGAAAAAGACATAATTAGTAGTAATCCAAAACCACAAACGAAATTTAATCAGATCTACTATAGCAATCGAATCAGCATTTATCATTCCATTAAACTGTATCCTACTTTTCAATTGTTAGAAAAACAAGTTATGCTGGCAACTAGAAAAATTGTTTTGTACCTTCTTATATGTATTTGAAAAATATGCAAATAAATTATATGGATGGAATGATAGCAAAATTTACTTTTGTTTGGTTCCGACTTTTCCTATGCTCATTAGAAGAGTATTGCAGAAAAAAAAAATTAGATCGAATAAATAATTTTTTTTCTAAATGAAAACCAACTTATACATATCATGTTTTAGAAATTGGAAAAAAAAAATTCAAAAATTAATTTTAATTTATGAAAAAATTTAATTATTAATTAGTTTTTTTTACAAGTCCGTACTTCGACAAAATCTTACCCGAACCATATTAATGTTACATCGTTCTGCAATTTTTTTAAATTCTTCTACCACTTCATAAAGAAAATATTTAATAACAATTAAATGGATTTAAAATTTTAAGAGCATAAATAAAATATTTAGGACTTTTTATTTTGTAAATAAAAGGATTGGTTGAAAGATTTTGTGAAAGGATTTAAAATATTCTTTTAACAGATTTTAGTATCTCTTATACTTAATCTTAATATATTTTTTCTATAAAAATAATAAATAATTATAGAAATAACACATTATAAAGCTTTTAAAGATTATTATAAATATACATTATTATTTTTTTATTTTCTGCCTTCAAAGATTTGCATTAAAAAAAGTAAAAATTAAGTTATTTTACCATTTTTATACAATTCTTTAAAAAAAAAAGAGTAAAAATAAAGTAATACTTTTAAAATAATTTGTAAAAATAGTCTCCAACCAAATATATTCTAATTTTAAATTTTCTAGCTTTTCTATCCTCTCATAACTTCAAGTCAAAACAAGAAAAATGAACACCTGTGTTTCCATTTCAGGTTGGTGGTGTACTTCCAAGGCTCCATAACTGCATCTGTGATATCGTTCAAGTGTCTTGGCCATGCTAAAACAAATAGCCAATACATTATTAGTACACAAATCTGCATTTTCCCTTAAAGTAAAAGAAAGTGCAAGGATAAAGCAACTAAGATCATATAAATTAAATCATAAAATACAGTCAAACAAATTAATCCTAAATATTACCCTATACATCATGATGAGCTGAAACCTATATCAATAGTTCGTATTTTATTGCAAATTTCAGGGTCTTCAAATTTTAAAGTTTAATTTTATGTGGAAATATAATTTCTTATTTTTTCCTGCAATTGACAAGTTAAAATATAATTCATAAGATAAGTAAAATATCTTATGATGAGATTATAGTTTCAAACAGAAAGTTTTTGGGCCAAAGATTTTGCTTAAAGAAAATCAAATATATATACTACTTCAACTAAGTACTGATTTGTTGCTAATAAAAAAGAAAAAAGACAAAAACAGGTAATCATTTGTATCCTAAATATTTTCTCAAAATCATTAATGAAACCAAACCATTTGATTTTAACTCTACTTTCTGTACTGGTTATAACAAAAACTAAAAATTGAATAAAAGCACCTCTATTTTTTTTATCTTTTTCATTTTTGTTTTCTCACACCCTGCTTTTCCAACTATTAGATTGTTTCTATCTCTAGAAAGTGTACTGACTTTTTCCCTTAAAATTAGGAATTTAGGAGCTTTCCCCGGAGGCAGACATAGCAAAGAAAATTGACAACCCTAAGAATTTTATATAATTAAAGAAATTAATTATTCAGTCTTAAAATCTTATAGCATTTTTTATTATGAAGATAAATCTTCTTGATCAAGTGTATTCTTATAACGAGAAATTTAGGTTATATACTTACCATTGAATTGTAATAATATGTTAGTATTATCTTTAAGGATATAATCAAAATATCATACGGTAATGTCTTCTGAAGTTAATGAAAAACGCAATTAATGGTATAGAGCAATGAATTTCCATTGCTCCGAAAGCATTTAAACAGTTTTCATTTCACTACACCAAAATCTATTGTAACTTTTATTTCCTTACGACAATATCCTGCAGTGTTTATCTGGGATTCAAAACAATGTCTTTATTCTAATAGTAGTTCTCCGCAAGCACCTTTCCACTGGCCCCAAAGTAGTACTAGATGCACTTAATTAAACGCTATGGTTGAGATTTTATGCCCAAAAATTCTACAAAGAGGATGACTATATAATACCAACGATAGCAAGCTATTTTCTCTGTCTCTAAGGTTTTGTTTTTGAATTAGTTTTTAGGAGAAAAGAGAAAAAAGGATAAGATTTATGTAATATAATTCCTTGTATGGTTATAAATCCTACAAAATTCTACTAATCATATGTTTTTAAGTTTTCTCAAATTGAGAAATTTTGTATTAACTTTTTCTTCTCTTACCTTTTAAATACTTTCCTTCCCTTTCCCTTCAAACTCTCAACACCAAAGCCTAAACAAATTACTTTCATTGTTGATAGATGTTCCACAATTTGGTAACCCTCTTTTTTCTTGTTGAAGTAAGAGGAGGTATTGAAAAACACTTTTTTTTAACACTCCTATAAATCGTTACAAATTATAAAAATATAAGAGAAATTTATTAAATTTTAAAAATAAGTTTAACATAATAAAGATGTACCAAAAAATATATCTTAAAAGTACATAGCTAAAATTTATCTTGAGAGAGACTTTGTTTTGTAATCATTATTTGTTTTAAAAGAATTATTCATGTTAGAATAATAAGTAAACACAAGATCAAAGATTCCCATTCATTCTAACCATTAATTAGCAATTTCTAATAACACAAAACATTAATTCTAAACATACAAAACAAGATAAAAATTGAATTAGCTCTCGTCTTCTGAAAATAAAGGGTTGTGCACTTTTTGTATGGATGAGGAAAGGATATCTGATGCAACTAGATATCAGATTGCAGGTACTACAATGTATGTAAATGCACTGCACTGAGTGTCCGATAAAGGATGCGTAAATCATGACATAAATGCTGCACTAACACACAGGCACGCATGGAAAAAGCTATCACGGTCATGTTGTATTAAAATTTCCGGTTTATATCTTATCAATACAGTAACATCTCAAGGATATATAATATTGAGTTTTGGTTTTTACACATTTTCTTTCTTTGACATTTTTCTATGTCTTTTTCTTTTAACATATCATTTATTATTATTTATTTATTTTCTTTACTTTTTATCTCATTTACTCTTGTACTCTTCTCGCAGTTCATAAGACGTGTGAAACAATCATCACCCTAAATGTTTTTTAACTAAACCCTCGTTCTAATCTTTCACATTACAAGTATTGGTCACATTAAAACTTTACTTTAGTTTCTGATTTTAGAAAAGATAATTTACTTTAATCTTTTTTATTTTATGTTTTACTGTCATTTTATACACAATTTTAAACTGATTAAGAATTAAACTTATAATTTGAATGACTGAAATGAGGATTTGCACGTGTGTGTGTGTGTGTGTGTGTGTGAGAGAGAGAGAGAGAGAGAGAGAGGGAATAACTTAAAGTTTTTGAATTAAATGCATCTCACAAACCATCTAAGTTACCTGTTTTCATGCTTACCTAATTAGGATAACTGAGCATGCATCTCAATGGAAGGGAGGTAAAACCAAGGGAAAGCTCTTACACGTCTCCATATTCATGACCAGCAATTTTTTCTAATACCAAAATTTAATACAAGGAAATGGAGATATATAGAATGTATAGAAGATCTATATATGCAGCGGAATACACACGGGCCTTGCATTATCCCGTTCATGAAAATGATTCCTGCTCCATATTTAACTCCCTCTTCTCTCTTTAATCTTTATGATTAACTTATAGAGCTACCAGTAAGTCAGTAACAACCACACTTAAGCTGCATGCACTCTACCCTCCACTGGACATACACCTTCTGATAGTGAATTTCAAGATGTTTGATTTAACTAAGAAAGTATGAAATACTTACATGATGTTGGTGTAATAATCAAACTTTTTTCTCATGTAAATAATAAAATGTTGTTGATACATATGAGAAAGGTCCTAAAATGTAACAACTGGAACGTTGATCACCCATGAATGACTTATAAAATCACAAGACTTGATTATTGAGCTACTAAAAATGAACATTATATATAATACTGTGATCATTTTATATTATAAACATACATCTAAAAATATACCCTCAAATATATAATTAAAAAAAAACTTAAAAGCATCTCATCTATGATACAAAAATATTTCCATTCAAAAATAATATATAAACGCACAAATACTATATATGTTTTCAACACAAAATGATATAATGATGTGTATTTGTCTTTCCATTATATACTTTAAAGTATGACGTTGTACCGAACTTTTATCTTTTGCATTGAATGCAAATGCATAATTTTTTTTCTTTTTGTTCTGACATACGGGGGAATGTCTAATCAGAATCAAGTATCTATCAACAATGAGAATCTTGGGGATAGTAAAATAGTAATCAAAAGCTCTAGAATGCCAACATTTCATAATGCATAACGATTCAAGGCTCCTAAAATGAAGATTCGACCTTATTATTGCCTTAGCATAGGTATAATTCAACTAACACCTTGTTTGTTTTACAGTTTAAGAAACATCTTTAAAACGGACTTTGCACAACAATCAAGGAAAAAACCACTGTTCAATGCCAATTGTAGGAAGGTATGTTTTGATCATGAAACAAAAAAACTGCAAGGAATTTAACTATCGCATAATATAATACATTGAGATTTTAAAGTTCAAAATAAAAAATCAAAATCAACTTTTTTGAATTAAATAACTAAATATCACGAATATTTTCCTAATAATAAGATTAACTATTCCCTTCAATAGAATGAAACAATAATCTTTGCAAGTGTTGGATTAGGTAAAGATACACATGAATGAATTTATAAATTTAATTTTATAACTAGGTAAATAAGGTATATATCACTTGTTATAAAAACTTTGGTATCATGTCATGAACTAATATTCTCATCGGGAAAATAGGCGAAGTGAAACATAAAACAACTTTAAATTATATTTCTATTACTAACCAATCATTGCAAAAATATAAATAAAAAAAATTGCAGCTCCAAAATCAGAGACCACGCTCAGCAGTAGATCTTGATTTAAATTTTTGAGAGAATCATTAAATATTGGTTAAAGTCATACAACTAAAATTTATACTAATTATATATAATTTTATTAAGATTTTAAAATAGTATATTAACAGCAATAAAATATATAAAAAGTGAAGAAATTGATAATCATTTATATTAATCCGTATACCGTTGTAATCTTCTAAAAGAAGTTCAGCCACTGACCACACCCCAACCTTCACAGCGGTTTCCCCTTTCTTCAATTTTCGATCAAAACTCTTATTTACAGGAAAGTTCCAGTGCAAGCGAGACATATACAAAATTTTACGAGGAGAATGAAAATTTAATAACAGAATATTATCATATAGCAAAGTTATATATCTGAGTTTATATTTTCAACAAAGCAAAAGGGAGTTGTTTTAGAAGATTACAAGGCCATATTGTTCAACTCCTTAAATTATTAAATTAAACCATAAGAAACAACTAAAGACGATTCACTATGTATTTGCTTGAATTATCAAAAAATTTGAAGCAGAACGATCTACAAGCTAATTATTTATAAAGCAGGAATACAAAAACACAAAAAGAAATCAAAATTCTAGTGAAACCCCAAAAAATTTAGAAAAAACAAAAAGCAAACAACACATCCTTCATCAAGCCCTACGAATCAAACATAGAAAACCATAAACAAAGCAACCCCAAAAGAAAAAGGCTCATGAGACTCAACACCCCTAATGAAAAATAAGTGCACAAACAACTTTATCACCAGCAAGATGTAAACTTTAAGCATCCCATGAAACAAGGAATGAAAATCAAGACAGACCCAGAAACTAAAATTCCCCAAAACAGCACAAAAGATTTTTATTTCACACAAGGGAACACACAAAAGCTGTGTGACAAAGAAAGAAACTCAACAGCTCCATGGGTTTTGTGAACAACAACAATAATAGTTACCTAGTTCCGCTGCAGAACTCATAGAGCTTCCCACGGTTTGAGAAGATAATGAGGGCAACCTCAGCATCACAAAGGACAGAAAGCTCATATGCCTTCTTGAGTAACCCATTTCTTCTCTTTGCAAATGTCACTTGACGGTTTATCTTGTTCTCAATCCTCTTCAACTCCACCTTTCCCCTACCCATTATTACTTTATATCTCTTTTGACAAATAAAAATTTGCTTTTTCAGAACATCAGATGAAAAAGCATAATTTGTAGATTAAATATTTTTTCAGCTATTTTCTGCAAAAGAATTTTCCTTCTTCCTCTTGTTTGTGTATAAGCTGATAATATGATATGATCTGTCGCTGAGATTTTAGTAGGTGTGGTATACCTATAGGTTTGATAGCTAGGATGTTTAATGGAAGATGAGAATATGAGGGCTTTTATAAAAGCCAGTAGAAAGTAACCACGGCATTCATAACTCAGTTCCTAGATCTCACATCTAATGCCACAGTAACTCAATACTTTTTTGTATTTTACTTAGATCTTCTTGTGTTGACATGAATAATGATAATCTCCTGTTGCTAAGTAATTTAACCATGTCATGCTGTAAGAGTGAATGATGTAAACATTTAAACTAGTAATTTTTTTATTATATTAATTTATAGGTTCTTACATTATTTTAAAAAAGTAAAAGCTTATAAGTAGGTTTCTGAATTTTTAAATTTTTTATTTAAAAGTTTAGTATTTTTTGTTAGAGTTGCGTTGAGAAGACCAAAATAATAACTTTTTAATAGTTCAAAATTTTACTGAATAGTTAAATTAATGATTTAATCTCTTAAATATTTAAAAATTTTAATTTTTTTTATTATACTTAATGGAACTCACATAAAGAGATTCAATTAAGGATAATTGAAAAGTTAAGAACGTACAAATTAATTTAACTTAAAATATTAATATTTTAATTATTTTACTTTTATTTATCTTTCTTTCAACGATTTTTAATACAACAATGGTATATACACATTAGTTTTATCACAATAATATTTTTTAAAATACTAAAATAAAAGCACACACTTTTATATTTATATTCTTAATTTTCTTATAAATAATATGAGAATATTTCAATTAATTTATGTAATTATATACCTTTAGTTATAGTACAATATCTTTAAAATAAAAAATAATAAACTGAAATTAGATTGCAAAGGGTTGAAAAAGAAAACAGTGGGATGTCGGTTTGCAAATTATTGACATCCCTTCTTTATTTAAAAAATAAAGAAAAGATTTAGCTATCAATTTATTCACACTTTAAAAATCAATCTAATGCATTGAGATTTTAGTGATGGAAAACTAATTTTTCAATATGCTGAAAAACTGAAACAAATTGAGAAATAAAATTGCAAGTGAAATAAATTTAGAATAAAAAATAGATTTAAGTAATATTGTGATGTACAAAATGATAAACCTTTTCCAGGTTATAGTGGCGTGCAAGTATGTACTATTTCACTCACCTTGTGAACTTGACGCCAAGACTCACCGAAATTGGTCAACGAGAGAGATAGTTTCATTATCATGATTGTGTTGCACCTAAACGTCTTAGATTTTATGTGTTACCCTCCCTTCATTTATAAGCATTACCCTCTTTTAAATTCTACTTTGGCCTTTTTATAATATATAAGAGATCAATTTGGTCATGTGCAAATATTTATTATTATTATTTTATTGCAAATCATTCAAGTTCTTAAAATAATAAAAGTTAACAATGGGTGGAAGAAACTTGACAGAAGAATTAAAATTTATTTGTAAGGCCAATTGTCAGTTATGGTTAAGTCATTTGTAACCAAATTTACAGAAATGATTTTGCATCAGTCAAAATCATTGGTTGTGACTTATCAAATTCTTTTAAAATAATGTGAATGTGTGGCAGCTTTTATTTCGAAGCTTTTGTGCGAGTTAAATAACACCTTAAAAGTTAAGTAATATATAACTATAAAAGAACTATGATCTAAAATTTATTATTTTTATTTTAATTTAAATGAGATTCTTAATTTTTTTTTTATCTTCTAGTATGTCTTAATATTGTGGTTCATGAAAATTGTTTTCAAATTTTAATAGCATTGTTTGTCATCAAAATAATTACATTAAAAAGTGAATTGTTGTTGTATTCCTTGTATGTGTTATTATTCATAGAAGCATTAATAAACGATGTTTTTAGAACAATGATTAAAAAATCAATGAATAATAAATATTTATTAAAACGTTTAAATTAAGTCTTTAATTAAGACTTTTACTATATTTACTACATTTTATTTTTTATTTTTTATTTAAATGTTATGTCTATTTTTTTCTTTACTGTATATATAAAAAATTAATATCTTTATTATATTTTTATTAATTATTGAATAAAATTTTAAGATAGAAATTTTAATTTAAACATTTAAAAAATTAATGAGACTAAATGAAAGCAATTAAAACTAGATAGAAACTAGATATGAATAATAAAAATTAGAGGAAGCAAAATTATAAAGATGAGAAGTACAATTAAGTCTTAAGAAAATTGCATTCACTGGTGAGATTCTCTTTCTTTAAATCACCATAAGAGTAGGGTAAGGAAGACTCTCTTTCTCTAAGCCACCATAAGAGTAGGTAAGAAAACTAAAAGAAGGTTTGGGCTTATGTTAAATTTTAAATTAAGTTGTGGAAAAGGTTTGTAAGTGATAAATTAAAAAGTTTAATGAAATGGTGAGATACTTTTTCAGCTAAATAACAGCCATAAATCAACAGCAAAGAGTTGACAATTGACACAGACAAGGAAATATAAATGATAAAAGAGAGGAATTATGGGCAGTACTTATTACTTATTTTGAACGAGGGTTAGTATGCTTCCCCCTCTTCATATCCAAGTCATGTATGTGTGGGGTTTAGCACCACATGAAGACATGAAGCCCTCAACACCATCTGTGTGTGCAGGTGGGGGCAACCAGCATTCCACCCATTTTGAATTTGACAACTCTAAATTGACTTGGGCCTTCCCAGAGAGACTCTGTGTAAACATGCCCTATACTTTTCAGCCTAAAGCCACTTCTTTCTTTTATGATTAGAGAGAGAAAGAGAGAGTTCAACGTTGATTTCATATTTACAATATCAGTTATATGGACAAAAATTTATGTTATTTTTAAGCTATAATTAGTGTTGTTAATCAATTAAGTATTCAATATTTCATTTTTTATAGTTTCATGATTTTTTAATTTATTTCTTGTTTTTGAATTACTTAATTCTCTTTCATTTTACTTTTCTTTTATCACTTCATTTTCTATATGAATCTTTACTGACCTTGTTTAAATATCATATATAGTCAACAAGTTTACATTGAATCTTATCAAAATTAATTATTGTTTTATGTATACGTATTTCCGTAATAAATAACATTAAGTTATTTTACTTTATGTGAGATAGAAAAACAATTAAGACTTCTCATATCTAAGTACGTAACTCACCTTGTACGAAAGATAAAAATTATTCTAAATGTACGAAAGTTTTCAAAACTTGTTACTTTAATCCATTCTAAAACATGACACTGAATTCTTGTTGTTTCAATTTTGATTATAATTAAACTTCCAAAAAATATTACGTAAGATTATCTAAAAAGAACATAAGATTCAATTCATTAATTTTATAAAATTAGTCTTTAAAGTTATTATATAATTTTTAAAAATAGTATTAGAAAAAAATGTCATATTAATATCGAATATAAATTTAGATACGTTAATTTCTCCTTAATTCATCCATTTTATCAATTTTTGAAAGCACCGTGAACTTTTTTTCACAGAATAATTTAACTTTTTTTTATCAATAAAGAGAAAGGTATTCAATAAAAAAGCATAAGGGTATTCAAATTCTTACAAACAATCCATGAACAGAACAAGATTCACAATACCTACAGCAGAATACAAATTATAGGGAATTTGGACAAAACATAGGTTTTTTATCTACTCAAGAAAAGAATAAAGAAAGTTATACATTTTAACTTTGATTCAAGACTAAGACTATGCTCTAATTTTTACCAACTTTATCAAATTATCAAGTGCTGAAGTATTATATTTGAAAAAAATCTCTAAAAAAACCCTTAAACAAGAACATTATTTATTTTATATTTTTCTTTCCTCAAACGACGATTTTTATCATTAGATTTATTTAAGATTCACTAAAAGACCCCTTTGTTGCAATATACGTACACATGATGAAGATTCATATAAAGAAAAAATGCATACGTCACTTTACGTATGTATAATCAAGGCGGCTCAACCTGTTTATTGGCCAAATTTCAAATTGTAAATGAGAATATATCATTGACATTGACGGTACAAGTGTAAAAAAAATGACTCGATATTAAAAAAAATATTAATTTTATCGGAAAAAACGACTATTAAATAAAGTGTAAAGTATAACATGAATGAAAAAGAATTTATAGGGATGAAACTAGAGAAATATATATATATACACACACAATTTGTGAATGCCACCAATATTAAGCGTTTATTAATTGTAATAGGAATCATGCAATCAGACACTTAATTGTATACACTTTATTAGGGTTTACACTCCATTAGGGTAACTTTACCTTCTCGAATTTCATGTTTTTTAATTTATTTTTTTATATTTTTTTCAATAAATCTGAGAGATAAAGTGATAAAAAAAATAATAGTATAAAAAAGTATAAAAGATGAATTGAGAAATCGTAAAACTACAAAATCTATCCATTTATTATTTGATTATAAATAAGTTGTTTTTTATTTTTGAAATTGAGGAAAAAAATTGTATAATGAATTATTTTATAAAAATAGGTATTTTTATTAAAAATATTTTTATCCGAAGCGAATAAAATCGAATCTTATTTAGAAATGTATGATGCTATTGGTATTTGGTTATACAAAATGTGCTTGGAGTGAAGGTAACGGCAAACGAAAAGCAAATTAACAGTTGCAAGGTGTCAAGAAGGGCACGCTCTTGCAGTAAAAATGAGATATGGGTTTGGGGTACCCTACGATAAAGACATCCTATCATAAAATATGAGTGTATTTTACAAAGGACATCCTATCATATCATGTCAGAAAGGACTCTACGTTTGTTGGCAGCTCAACGGACATCATACATAAAAATGTTAGTACTAATGTGTTGTTTAAGTTATCTTTTTTAATA